TTAGATTCACCTCGAGAATGAGAGAGAGAGAGAGAGAGAGAGAGAGAGAGACGCGACCGCTCACTCAAAGCGGTCCCCGCGAGTTACCGGGGACCATAATTTATATATATAGCGTGAGCAAAGTGAACCCGTAATTTATAAGGTACACTTTAAGTACGCGCGCGTTCCATAGTGCATCCCGTGAATCACAGAAATCAGGATTTATGGGCTTCATCGTCGCGAGACTTTCCTTCTGATATGAAATGATAAACGGCGTTGATCGCCAGCGCTCGACGACGAGCTGCATCGAATAGATGGTGTATTAAGGATACAATAATTATTATTAGAGGAATAATCATTGTCGGTAGTCGCTGAGCACAGTGAACGTGTACTAATGACATCCAACAGCGGTGGGGGGGCGACTGGGGGTACCGCAAAAAGACCACCACCGCCCAGAGGCAGCGCGCCGTTTATGGTTAAGGCAGTCCTTCTTACCGGAGATCCGCGCAAACAAGCGCGACCTTCTCGCAGGAGGAAGTACGCGCAGCCGGCATGCGTTTTCGGCGCCGGCCCGGATTCCGTTTGTCACTTCTTTTTGTCACCGTGCGTGCACACAACCGCGCGCGCGTCCGACCTCCTCCTCCTTCCGTCCGCGTCTTTAGACCGGCTGATCGGGTCCAATGACCAAAATTAGTGAAAAGGTATCTCACTATACTTTGTTATATATATTTTTTTATTTTGTTACATTTTTTTTTTCTTGCTAACTGGGTTCTTATAAGAAACTTAATTTTAAGTTCTGATAAACACACCCTGTGCATGTTTATTAAAGAACAACCGTTCGATTAGACCGACGAAATTCACGATTGCCGATTGTGAGGCATGACTTCGCTTGGAATTTATCGGTCAAACTGTTATCAATGCCGAGTTCAGCTCGTTTCCTCCATTCGCAGGAGGCAAAAACATCGTTCCCGAAGCGCTCCTCCGGCCGTTTCCTGCCTCCTCCCTGTGCTTATCTCTCTCACACCTCTGGACAACCGCCATACATCTGTTCAGTTTACCCGAGGACTCCGTTCCCGCGAGTTAATCGAGGAGGCACGTTCGTCTGGAACCATCAAGGCCGCGAATGTGGGTGGACGTATCTTCCGAGAATCGGCGAGCTGATTTCGTGCCTGCCGCCATCGCGAGGACGACGTAGTCCGACCGACTAGACGTGAGAACCGGTGACGTTAATTAACGTTACGCCGTAACGCGTGAAGAGATACGCAGCAGGTAGATTTTATCGTCGGTCATTACGGTTAGAATACGACCCGGTCCGCGAGCGATACACGACGACTCCATTAAACAAACCGGAGCAATCCTTGCAAGGAACGTCGCGACTCCTCTCCTCCGTCGGAGTCGTTAGAACGCGAGTCGAAAAACAGGAGGAGGGAAAAGAGAGAGAAAGAGAGAGAAGGAACGTTTCGGTCGCGACATATCTACGCGTCTTCCCGTCGTTTTGCTCCTCTCGTCTCTTCATACCTTCCGCGTATCGATCGCGAGTCATGCGGGCTTGTTTTGCAATTGCCTACGCTCGCGCTCGCGCGGTGCGCGCCAATGAAGATGGCGGACTACGATAATTTATTAACTAGTCCGGCGAGTCCGATCCCCCCGGCACCCGTTGAAACCCGGCCGACTCGTTTCTCGCAACAAAATGCAAAAGCGCTCTCGCGGCTTTCGAGCGGAAAACCGCCGCGATCCGGCATTTCCGCGCGACTGAATTTGTCCGATCGTGAGTGGACGAACCGGCGAGCAACCGAAATCGTTGTCCGTAACGCCGGCCGTCGAGATCGCTTCAATTCGCGTCGCAATTTCGCTCCGGTTACAACCCCTCGAGTAAGAGTCCGCGCGTCCTCTCACTTTTTGATCAGAAACGGCTTCCGCTTTGTCACTAGAATGTCTCTATCTATGAAGGGTGTCCACAATTCATCGAGTACAATTGAGATTCATCTTATTATATGCAATACTATTTACTATTATTTGCTAATTATAATAATTATAAATTATACTATAATTTATTAATAATTTCAAATAATGAGCCAGACTGATGAGTAAGAACTGCGATCCGTCCGCTTTTATTTGAGGGACTTTGCATGGAAAAAAATTAGTCTTGAATCAAGAACAAGTATTCTCACATATAAGCAAGAATACTAGAACCTTGTTACAAGATTTTTAGTCTTCGAATCGAGTCCAAATAATACTCGCATCGACACAAATTCAATTGAATCGAGACTAAGAGTATCCTAAGAAAATTGCGATATTCCTGCTTATATACGTGAGAATATCTATTCTTGATTTAAGATTCATTTCTCTCCGTGTAACCGGACTGCACGAACTTCTGAAAGAGAAACGAACGTCCATTGGACGTCTTCGAGACATCTTCTGGAAGTTCGTGCTATCTTAGTAGCCCCGGTCGCGTCGTCATCGTTTCGAGGTGCCGCGCGCGGATCGAGGCGCGCCCGCCGGGCTATCCGAACGAACACATGGCGAACGCGAAAGGGGAAATGACAGTAGTATAATGATCGTAATAACGTTCCCGCAACAGCGTCCACACACGGCAAAGAGCAAAGTTCAGCGTGCGCCCGGCCGTTGTTACGTGAAGCTCCGGCTCCTTCGCTCTCGGTTTCTTTCCCGCGCCCGGATCGCTCGAAGGCGCGCCGCGAAACACGCGCGTCTCTCGTTTGGCTCGTCGTGGAAAATTTCTGTATCGTTCATATTGTATCGTGTTGGCCGCTCCACTTTGAAGATTATTTCTTGCGATTGTCACGCACACGAGCAAAAAATCGGCCGCTGACAAATGGCCGTCGGAGTGGCCGATCCGGCAGCGCACGCGGCGGTATATCCATAATACATCAGCTGGCATTTTTTATCATCCGTCGCCAAGGTGTATCTCTCAGGTGTGTTTTGCATTCGTAACGAATTTAGAGCCGGCTCGCGTGCGACGTTCTCATGAACCGGTACGAGATGCGTGCGCGCGCGCGCGCATCACGAGGAAACTGCGCGAGGAACGCACGCTGGAGGAAAGATGCAGCGCGCCTGGCAACTATGTACGCCGCTGACAAGCGACGCTTCGAGTAATCTCGGCGTAATGGAATGCATAAAATTCATAATTGCATAGTGCGGACGTTTATACGCTATACTTAAGCCTTTATGTAAGTACGTGCGCGCTCTGTCGCTCGCTCGCTCGCTCACGCGCGATGGACGCCTCGACGTCGCCGCTCGAGAGAGAGAGAGAGAGAGAAAGAGAGAGAGACGCTCGATGTTGCATAGTGGAACGCGTAAACATCTCGACCGGCGAGCAGACGTCCGGAGTGGCATCCGTCTGTGAAACCGATACGACGAGCTTGGAAGCGTTTTCCAGCTGCGCCTTTTCCTCTATGCCCTCTCTTCGTGAAAAACACGAGGAATACGAAAGATCCGTCGGGATTTGTTTTTCAACTTCGCGTTCGACCTCGTATCGCGGATGTCTCGTTTGTTAACGCGTTGACTGCCACGGTGATTCTCAGCCGAACTGACGCCGCGCTCTGAAATCTTCCTTTCCGACGCTTATATAATTGTTTCATTCTGAAGGCAGAAAATACAATCTAGTTCAGCTAAAGAGAACGGACTTGGAGGTCATGTCAATTCGGGAGATGCGCGTTGCAGCGTTGAACGTGGCCGCGTGGTTTTTAATCTGACATCAACGTCAAAAGGGCTCGTGTTCTCAACTTATTTTTACTAATAGAAGTACCTTAAATGTGGCTTCTCAGCCAATCAGGTGGTTTCTAAGTCGACCTTGAGGCACTTTTATCAGTGAAAGCGAGCTTAGAGTGTGGAAAAGATGGATTTTTACGTTACGTTTTAACACGTTTTAACACGTTGACTGCCACGGAACTTTTCACGATTCTGGTCTAAGAAGCCAATTTGATTTAATCGAGTAATGAAACGACGAGATAACTCGTAGTTGGCGTCCTGGGCAAGTAAACAACCTACGAAATATCTCGTAGTTGGCAGTCAACGTGTTAAATTACAGAACTTGTTGTACCGTAGTTTTTTTTTATAACGTATCGATTACATCCTTTTACTTTTATGACTCTCATAATTTAATTGTTCCTCCCCTTGTTAAAATTTAGGAGCGGACAGGCCCCTCTTGATTACGCTCGTGTACCGTTTATGAACCACGTGTAACGTTCACTTCGGAATGACGATTCTCAAGGAGAAACAATGCAAAACTGACATTGTTTAAAATTCAATGCTGCTGTAACCTTCTCACGTGTTCCCAGTAACGACTTTGACCAAATGATCCACTTTGACATTAAAACGAGCAGAAAAAGACATCTCAACATCGCCGCGTCTTATCGATTTACGTAAAAAAAAAAAAACAAAAAACGCAGCCTATTTTACGTAACATAGATTAAACGCACAGTCAATACGAAGCGAACGAAGTGAGTCCGCGAATATATTCGCTCGCTGGTCGCGCTTGTACGCCGTATCTTTGGTAATTGAAACTTCAGTGGAACACTGAAGCAATCACTGGGAACCGGCGGGCGGTCAACGTGTTAATTAACGATCCGCTTGCATTGGGAAAATTCGCATTAACGCTCTCTCGCATTTCGCAGGGTGTGTTCGCCAGAGGAAAGAGGAAGAGGAGGAGGAACGTCCAGTCAACGTCGGAGCGCGTAATAACGCGCCCGATTTCGCTCGCTGTGGCCGATTTGCTCGGACACCGCTCGGATTCATCGCTCGCTCTCGTCGGGGCCCTTAACGGTCCGATATCATGCCCGACACGGTGATTCGTAATGGCGAGCAATCGGCCGGCTAGGAAATTCTCGAGCCGTGACGTAAAAGATAGCAGCCCGAGGGCGTGTTTCTTCGGCACGGCGCCACCAATGCCGGGGCTACGCTTATTCGCGCACGAGCGCGAAACGAACACGCGTCCCACACGCCGCGTCTCCTCATCCTACCCGTTCCGGCGGCTTCTTGCGTCAAGTTCACAGCGGAAGGAGAGGTGAGGTGATTTGCTAGAATAGAAATCGAGACGACTCGGGGGATACTTAACACATCGCCCATGTCGCGCGGGGACGTCTCCTCGTTTCAACGAAACGTCGACCAGCCGTTCCCGCTCCCGATGATTCCGAGGCAGAACGATCGTTCTTATCTTTAGATCTTATCGCACCGATTTCTATAATACAAAAACCGTAAGATTATCGGGCTACTATTCGCAGTCTGCTTCTTATATTTCAGATCGTTCATCTTCGAGCGCTCCGTAGCCAATGAGACGAGCCGTACAGCATCTCAGCAAGACGACTTTTAAATTCAAGATCCGCTTACGAATGATTATATCATCCCAGGTCAAGATTCGTTGTTGTCCCCACAACCGAGGAATGTACGGTATTCGAGGAACCTGAGCGAAGGCGCGACTCGCGCGGTTGACAATGTGTTAATTTACTTAACAACTCAATTGTCGGGCTGAACGCGCATGATTGTTCCCGAACGAGCAAGATTAAGCCGCTAAGCTCGCCTTCTACTCACAGGAGAGGAGGTAACGGCGCTCTCTCTCTCTCTCTCTCTCTCTCTCTCTCTCTCTCTCTCTCTCTCTCTCTCTNTCGTGGTCTCCGGTGTGGATTCAGCTTCAGGACGACTCTACCTTAATTCCCGGCTGTCTACGATTTTAATTACGGACGTGCTCTCCGGTCGGCAGAGAGACGAGATACGAAGAAAGAGAGAGAGAGAGAGAAGGAGAGGGCTCTTCGCTGGCGGCTTCCACGTTTATTCGATGTGAGCCGGCGGCCGCCGCGCAATTACCTTTATTCACCTCGATCTACATTGTTCCCGAGGTAAATGGCGATTGAATCTTGATTGGAGCGCGTCGCCGAGCTTCCTTGCCTAGGCGAGGAAACGGTGAAAGAGAGAGAGAGAGAGAGAGAGAGAGAGAGAGAGAGAGAGAGAGAGAGAGAGAGCAAGCAAATAAAGCCCCCCTCGGCTGCTCGGATAACCGTTAGTAAAACCGTAGTGTGAATAATCGTACCGTCTAAAACGCACCGTTGAGCAAACGACCGGCATTCGTTGCGCCAGCTTTCGGCTCTCCTCTCATCTCCGAGCAGCGCCGGCGAACAAGATCTATCGGAGTGTTTTCACGATACATTTTGCGCCCGGGGGGAATTAATAGGCGCGCTCACGCCAGCATTAACGAGCATGCGAGTCGCCAAACGAGTCTCCGTTTATCACACGTTCGATTGATTATTTCCCGATATCAGCGCCGTCTCTCTCTCTCTTTCTCTCTCTTTCTCGCTCGCTCTTTCTCCTCTTCTTCTAAGCCGCGTGAGAACGCAATAAAGCCGCGAAGCGGTCGCGTCTCAAGGCGGCCGGAGGACACGCGATTAATATTGAGATGCTTTTTTTTCTGTTCTCTACTCGCGTTTCAGCTCGTGCTGGACGCGCGCGCCTGCTCTCGCGACTAACACCGCTCCGGTCGCACGATTTCGTCTCGCAGACTCTCGATGGATCAAAGAGGCCGGCGAACGGAGGATATTTTTCATATTGAGATATCGGATTGATGTTATCTCGATATATTTAACGTTGACTCGATATCCGATTACATGTGCGTAAATTTTACGATGACGCTTGTAAGTGTTAAAATAACGCACACACTTGATACTTCAGTGTCAGTTCGCTGGTTAACATATTATGGAATGTTAATAAGAAATATTGAGATGTTAATTTTGTGCTGATTTTTTAGATTATGTTTATTTATTCACGGTTATATGATGATACGGTGAAGATATTTTGGATACTTGTGGTAGAACAATATACAGTTATAACATAGTTAGTAAGATACAAGTAGTAGTTAGTAAGATAGTAAGATACAAGTAGTAGTTAGTAAGATAGTTAGTAAGATACAAGTAGTAATTAATTTAAAAATCACGCAGAGAGGAAGAGGGATAAGGGAAGGCAAGGAAGGGAAAAAAAGCCGCGCTAAAACAGTCTAGATTCGGCGGTGGCGACGTGCAGTGAAAGCAGAGACGAGTTTGAACTTACACACATACACACACACTTAACGTTGGAGCTTGAGCTAAATCTAAAAACTCAACGCTGTATTTGCGACGAACGAGACAGAATGATGCGGAGGACTTGAGCAAACAGCGATCCTCGAAGAGGGAACCGAAGTTGCAAGCGTAGCGCAAACAACCGCCGCGGAGTAGCCGCGGACGATCCGACCGTATTTAACGTCCCCGTTTCCCGGCCATCTGACGCCGCACCGCCGCATTCCCGGCCTTTTAATCCGATTGGCATGTGAGAAAATATTCGGTTTTTACAGGTATAAATCCAGCCGTTGGAGCCATTGGCATTTAATTGGTATTTACCTGGATAGTTCGCTTCGCGTATGCCGATGACCCTGACATTTACCCGCCGCTGCATTTTGCATGTGTTACGCGCATACTCGTTCTTAAAGCGCCGTTCACATCGCGCGGCGACCAACGCTGTCGAGCGCGCGGTTTCGATTTCGCCTTGCGAGACCGAGCGAATTCTCAGCCCGAATTAATTCCGCAGCGCAACGGCGAGGTTAAAACAACACATTTTCTACTGCCTCGATTACCATATTATGGATATTAATTTTACGTAAATTTTTCGTATAATATTTGGGTTACTTTTCAATTCATGTGCACTTTGTGTTAAATTGACACTGAAATTTGATAGGATCGTTTGGGGTATGCGAAATTTGTTGTATTTGGCGTGAAATTTTTCACCGTGTGAGCTTCGCCAAATTCGTCCGGGACGAGACCCCGGGTAGATCTGTTCTGTAACTTTTAACGACAGTGTCATTATCGTCACGTAGGTATAATAATGGCGGAAAAACCGCGTAACGATAACGATACTATCGTTAAAGTTACAGAATAGGTTTGCGGAAGCAGATCGTGTCCTAGACAGGAAGCGAACGCTAAATACGTCATTCTGATTTTGAAGTTGAAACGAAGTCATGCGCGAGGCTCGTATGAGCAAGATTAAATTTCGAAATTGGCCACAGTTATAGAAGGATCCAACCCAGAAAATTATGATTCTTCAGATTTTGTTATCGATGGATAGTCTTTCCACATGAAAAAGATTCGAACCTTATGGGCGCTTAAAATTAATTAAAAAACAGCTTTTATTTCCTACTAGTTGTACCATTTTTTTTATCAGTCGTTTCTGCTCGTCTTTTTAAGAGTTGAGCTTATCAACGAATACCCTTAAGGCTCCGGAGTAGTCGCTGCAACTGTTCTTGTTTAATGACGTCAGAAGCGAGAAAACGCGTGCCAAAATTTTTTGTGTCACGTTTTCAAATAAAAAGATGTATCTGCAAAATAACATTTACTATCGATTCAGCAAGCCTGTAAAATTGGACGAACACTTTCCTCTTGTTCGAACAATCGATAAATAATGATGAAATTAATATTAATATTGGCAAAATCACGGGGAGAGAGGCTAGAAAAGAAGGCTCCATGTCAAGTTAATTTTGCTTTTTAAATCATGTGTAAAATTTTCATCTCCATTTTTCGGAAAAAAAAACATTCCACACGGATTCAATCTTTCTTGCATAACTATGGCCAATTAAAAAGAAGCGTTAGCGCATTTTTTCGTCATACGTCCGGAACAAGGACCCAGATACCGCACAGGGTCATCCTGGTTCCTGTAATCGTAAATTTCGAGTTATCGCAGCCACCTGTACCTGCGAGTCGCAGCAAATCTCGGAACGGGAAGCGCTAACGACTGAGCGCTCGCATCTCAAGCTGGATTCTCGAGAGCGGATTCATCGTCTTTCTGCTTCCTGCTTTTCGCAGATTACATGCTCTCAGATGTCCATGATTTCACGTACTTGATGCGAGCGAGTGCGCGCGCACTAGCGTAAATATGATTCGTTGCAACGCGCGCGTTTACACGTGCCGCGCGATCATGTCCACTGCGGTGGAAACCTGTTTAAAGCGCAAACATTGAATCACACAAGCTGTGCTCGTGCGATTGCGTCGTTACGCCGGCCTGTTGTTGCGTTTGTCCATGATTTGAAAGTATCGCGGCGAAAGTGATTTTAAAAGATCGCCTTTATTTATAGATCGCGTTCGCCGCCGCCAAGCGTCCGATCGCTCGGTTTCTCAACGATTTACTGAAGTTTTCGTTCCGTTACATAAATCTCTCTTCTCCATTTTCTCTCTCTGGCACACCTCAGGATGGGCCGTGAAATCGCTATTTCTCAATCCTATGCCTTTTAATATATGCTTCAGTAAGATTTCACATTTTTACTTTCATTATTATTTTTTTTTTTGTATTTTACTTTGATATTTTTCTGTTTTTTTTCCAGAATTGTATCTGTATATATTTATCTGTTTTTTTTTCCAGAATTGAATTTTCATTTCATCAATACTTACAATCTGTATCTATTCGTGTATCTATTGGTTATTGACGCTTAAGAGGAAGGTGGGAGGGGAGGGGGATAAATAATCCCTCTCTCTCTCCCTCTCTCATTCTCTCTCTCTTTCTCTCTATCGGCTCTCGCTCGCTTTTCGTTTCGAAATTGGACATTCAACAGGTGGCGTAAAGTCGACGTCGCGAACTCTCGCAACTTCCCCGGTGCCGCGGTAGGCGCGCTCTCCCCTGGAAATGTCACTCCCCGGATCACGCGGGAGAGGCGTGCGGGGTTTACTTCATTTTCAAGGATTTCGCGATCGCCCGGCCGTGCACGCGAAGAGGTGTTCGCGATGTCCATGCGAATCGAGTAAGTGCGAGTCCCCCCGTTGTTGTTAACTTGGGAACGCCTCGGGGCGCCGGAGAGGTTCCTTCAGCCGAGGTGGGCCCCTCGGCTTGTCGGAAGGGGCCCGTATGCTCGCGTTATTTTCTCGCGGCGAGATAAGATCGGCGCCGCTAAAAATAGCGCGTGTACACGCCGCACCGAGGACGCCGTCGCCGCCGAGCGTCCGCTGTTCGGGGTGCGGAGGTACCGAAAATTCACGAGCGAGCGAGCGGAGGAGCACCGTCAGGATCGACCGTGGGGACGAACGTGGCTCGAGGGGCGGTGTTTATCGTCAGATCTGATATCTAAGATCGTCCTAAGGATGTATTGTCCATTAAAGTTAAGTTAAAATAATCTGAAGAATTAGGAAAAAGTTGCAAATTGACCCACATTGCGTTTAAAAGTGATACTAAAAGTTGGGCTCTGAGTCTGAGCGAAGAGTTATTCAATTTTAAAGGAAAGATTGTAAGGCAAAATGAGTTCGACAAGAATTCGATGAAACTTGCGCTGGATATATATTGAAGTATTATTTAACTTATTGCTCGTGCAATTAGGAAAATATCGATCACTCCAGAGCTGAGATATTTGTAACGAAAGTTGACACTTTTTATACGTGTCCTTTGAAAGATTAGCGTGGTATTTTCAACTTTTACTTTTAATACTTTTTAAAAATACAATTTTGATGAAAAAACTATTATAGTGTCAAGGACTAATATGCAGGCATTATACACCAATTTCAGAATTATTGATCATTTTGTTTCAAAAATACATTAAGCAAACATATAAAGTTCATGAAACTCCACGAGTGATGTATAGCTCGTCCCATTGGCTTCCCGGGGCGTCTGAAGATGAACTTGAGACGGCCTTACATGTAAGATCTTGGAGTTGATTATGTATGTCTCGCTGATTTCCCTCGTCTCTCGTATTTTCAGTTCGTCCGAATAATCGCTTGCGATTAGCTGTACACGAAGCGAAGATAAAATAACCGTACGACGACCGTCTGATACCATCCGGCGCGAAATTACCTGTCGAGCGACGATCTCACGTAAGATGTATTGCATTTTCATCACGGTGAAAGTTACCCGATCAATTCACCTTTTTTCTCCTTTTACAGTTCTCACTGCGCATCGAGACGCAAAGTCGATTCCCTCGCTATGATACCCGTCGAAGAATGCGGAGCTTCGCGGGGTTGGTCCGGCTGCCTCGACCTCACAGCACCTTTTTCTTCGTCTTCCGCCTCCTCTCTTTCACCACTACTTCATCTTCGTTCACGCACACGTGTGCTTGCACCTACCACACACACACACACATACACATACGTGCGCAAACAAGCTGTTGATCGTTTTACATAACGAGAAAAGATACCGCAAGCTTTCACGAATGCTATCGCGCCATCATCATCGGGAACGCGGCGGAAGGAACGCAACGGGAAACAGGACGATATTGTTTTTACGAGAGAAAAGCGCTACCGCGAGCGAAGTTATCGAAAATGAAGTATAGCGCGACGAGAAGCCCGCGCTCGCGGCGAAGGCCGCGACAAGGCCGCTTGTTTCTTCGTCGCCTCGTCTCCTACTCGGATCATCCGCTCAGCGAGACTCTGGTGAACGTCGTGCAACTGCGCGACAATCTGAAAAATATTTTTGAGTAATGATCCTCGCGAGAGACAGATAGATAGAGAGATAAAGAGAGAGGGAGGGAGGAGGGAGGGAAAGGGAAAGAGACCTGAAAAATAATAATCGTGACGCACGTTTGCAGGCGAGCGAGGAAAGCTGAAGTCCACGTCGGCGGCAGCTTAAAGCTCAAGTCGCCGTCAATGCCGTCGACATCGAGACGCGAGAAGAGAGAATTTCACGCGCGAGGAGCAATTTTCGCGTCGAAATCGCGGCTCGTCGCTCGAATCGATACCGGTTTCCTGAGACCGTCGAAGAAGCAGCCGGCTCTCCGTGAGTCTCACCATCGTTCCTGACTTCCGACTATCGATATCGGCGACGAAGACAACGACGACGAAGACGACTCTGCGGCGAACGATTCAGCGATTTGCGTCACGCTAACTCGAACACGAGCGAGCTCCGACACCCATGAACGTAGGCGCGGATTTTTCCATAAAACGAGTCCCTCGACTCGCGGATGCTCAACCGCGTATCGGGATCAATGACACACGCCTGCAGATTCTCCCGCAGGGGTGTGTATCCTCCGCATGCGGCGGCGGCGGTAGTGCGCGTGGCCTGTAGAGAATTCCAAGCCGCCCGCCTTCCTCGACTTCGCGCGCGCAGCAGGACCTACTGGTTTCTATTTATACACCGCCGGAGACCTTGCGGACGCTCTCTCGCGCTTATGAACGCCGCCGCCGCCGCCGCTGCGCGAACGTCTCGCGACGCCAGCTCGAATTTGCCACATTGTATCGCACTTCCCCGGCGAATGCGAGGCTCAGCCTCGGTCTGAAGTCGATGGATAAGATGCCACGATCGGTTGAGCGGCGTGAGAGAGATGTGAGAGAAACGTATGTATTATTCCGCGAAAGACTATATATANCATGCGTATTTCTCTACGACTTTTAGCGCGCTTGCGCAAAATCGAGTATTCTTCTTTTTCTTCTCTTTCTCTCCTTGAGAACTTGATAAGTTACTGTTTACTTCGCATCGCTTCTTCCGCCTATATCTCTTTACCTGTGGTTTCTGAAACTTTGAATATCAAATTTGCTTATACACGATTATATATATAAATTAATTCTCGATGGAATTTGTTGTGCGCAAAAGTCGCGCACACACACATACATACAAACAGAGATACACACACGACAAACACCGCTTTGAAAGCATGGATTTTTTCCTCTCTGATTTACATACCGGTAGATCACGGTGCAATTATGTTCTAACGAGTTATTCAATGTTGAGGCGGAAAACGTTCTCTCGACTTCGATCGCTCATTGAGAGTGAGCGAAATGGCGTCCTAAGATCGTTAATAGATAAATAAATAGCACAGAGCTCATATTTTTTATATTTTTAACATGAATAAATTCTCCATAGACATAAATATTTTGTTCATTATATTTTAATATGTAAGACGAGTAAATAAATATATTGTCCATAAAAATCGGCAAATCGAATTTTTCGATTGCCATAGGTAAGCAAATTCAACAAGCTGTATCTTCGAATATAATTCAGATAATGAAATGGTTCAAGAAATAATTTACAGATTGAAATTTCTGGTTTTCAATTTCGTTATTATTGAATAAAAGGTGTAATTAGTTTCTACTATGTTAGGCGTATTTAAATGGAGATCTGCCAAATGTCGAAATTTTTTATCAAGTTTTTCGTGTTGCACCGTGTAAACGAGAAGTAGAAATATATAGATTATATAATTTGAAAGCAAAAACCTTTCTCTTTACTTTGCATTCTGGCGAACTGCAGTGCGACATTTTTTCACTAAGTTATTTAATAATAAGATGGAAATGGAATTGTGACTTTGATTGTTCGCAGCAAGAGAGCCAAACAATATACGATGTTCTCTGAACAATGAATAAGTAGCTTAAAATTTGTTCTTTACAAGGCATTTATTAAATTTTTGATAAAGATAAATTTTCAGAGTGAAAACTCAACTGAAACATGAGGTTGAAAATTGGACAGTCGCCATTTCTCATTTAAATCGATATACCATAACAATCAACAATATTGACGCAATAAGTTTAATATTCCCGAAAAGTAGAGATTTGAAACTTGAAAAAGTTTCTTGAACGATTTCTCTATTATCATGTTTACCGAAATTACAGTCTGTTGAATTTTAACCATATTCAATATAAGGATAAGGGCGGCTGACCATCCGTTGGGTGATTCTATTTGAGAAGTAAAAGAGGTGCCTGATTTTACTATTTAGTTGTACCACTTTCTCGAATCCTCGGTAAATCAGGAGCGACTCGTAGCGGAAACTTTAGAACTAAAAGTCGACGACACACCCAGTTTATCCAAGATTCAAACCACGTTCACCAAGTCTCGAACCCTCCTATCGAACGAATTTCAGTTCGACGACGATAGATGGCGCCAGGCAGTCTGTTAACGTCGAATCTAAATTTAATCATTAATTTATCGAAAATTAAGATGAATTCAGCGAAATTTTCGAATACGGGTCAAATATTTTTCAATGTGGTTTTATCATATTTAATTACGTGGCAATCGATAGACATGTTACCTTGTTACCAAAAACGTGTAGACCGATCGCTTTGTAATTAAATACAATTAAATTAAATTAAAAAAATATTTGACACATGTTTCAGCAAATCGCCGAATTCATCTCAGGTTTAAAGACATTAATTATTGCAATTTGACTCGACAGCTAACGGACTGTCTGACGCCATCTAGCGGTATCGAACTAATATTCATTCGGCAGAAAGGTTCGAATCTTGGCTAATATGTAGGCGATTGAAAGCAAACGAAATTCCTGTCAATGATGTTATTGACGATTGACTGTCGCAATAAGAATTACAATCGACTAACAACTAATGTAGAACGACTTTAACGTAACCGACTTTGCTGGAAAACTCATAATTTTTAGTTCTAAAATCTCCGCTACGATCGCGTCATAGGGATATTAAACTTATTGCGACGCAACTTGATAAACTTTACAAAAAATTTTAACATTTGACGGACTTCCATTTAATTCGTGTAATATTACAAAACTTACTTAGAACTTATATTCAATAATATTTAGGAAAACTATAAATATCAATCTGTAAAACGGATCTTGGACGATATCGTTATTTTAATTATTATTTAAATTATGGCCGTTAATCTTTTGCCTATTTGCGGAGGCTGAAAGAGATAATCTCTTCATTTTTGCGTATTTATTTATTTGATACATATATTTTTACATTTATTTGTTATTGATAAATCCCTCTAAATTCTTCTAAATCCCTATGAACTGTGTAAACAAACAACAGCGTAACGTCATTGGTTGCATTCAGCGAACACAACGGTTGCACAATTCTTGAGTAATTCGTCAAGATAATTGGTTTAAATTTAGGGATCTAATAGTATAAACCAATAATCAGTGACTGCTCATCTATCGTTTTTTTCGCTGAACGTATCTGCTTCTCCTGAAAAGTTTTTTTATTACATTTCTTGCACCCGTGCAGAAAGTTCAGCTGAAAAGGACAGAACTATCGATCAGTGTGTGGGATTTGCGTTTCAAGCTGTTTCAACGCAGGAGATTTCGCGGTAGTATCTATTTCCCGCAACATTTATTCGCACAGACCACAGAACGACAACAGAAAGCACCATGTCGAAGGGAATAACACAGATTTTTAACTCGTTCCAAGATTATCTAAACAACGAGCAGGGAACACGCGAGGTACGTATTCAACGTTCCTCGAATAGCCATGCTTTTTAGGTTGCGCCAAATGCCAGATTGTCAATGTCGCGTTGAATGAAATGTCGAGCGACACGACGGGCGTCCTGTCATTTTAAGCCAAAACTACCGCAAAGCCGAATGAAGTCGCGAATTCGCGCAACAAGCGCGTTTTCCATAGAGTCTTTCATTCGGCGCTCTTTGCAGGTTAGTTTGTGTTTACATACGTAGGGTATCATTGACCTACCAACACGCATAATCGTACCTCCCCCCCCCTCCTCCTCTCTCCTTCCCGTTCACCTCTTTGTCTTTCTCTTTTACTTTCTCCCTTCCGAAGCATACGGGTTTGCTCGTTAGAGGAATGTAAATATTATTCTTAAGCAAGATATCTATATTTAACTGTGAAACTGAATCGTGCAAGGTGTATGAGAACAAATACTGGTTGTTGCAGGAGATACGTGTTATTGTCAAGGAAATTGAGAAGAATGCCAGAGATATTTTAATAATATTGCAGAACATTCACAATGTAGTAACATCTAAGGACCAGGAGGAAATAAGTATGTTTCTAACAACACGTATCTCTTATCTGTTTCAAATTTATATCATCTAATGACCAAATGATGGCTTATTATTGGTTTATTATTGACAATGGTTTGTTTTATTATTGATAATTTACAGTTATAATAAAACACTGCGCGCATGCGAGGGAACTGTTCGAAGAAGTGAGGAAGCAGTACGCGAGTTTGACCGCGTTGGTACCAAATGATCAGTATTATCGTTTTCACGACCAATGGCGTTTCGTCACTCAAAGGCTGTGCTTTTTAGTTTCTCTAGTGATATATCTAGAAGCGAAAATTCTGGTCACCAAAGAGACTGTTGCTGAAATATTAGGAGGTAAAATATGGGCATATATTTATGAATCGTCCTGTATGCGTAAATCCAATTATATTAATTTAATAATTGTGTCCCGCTCTCACACAGTGAAAAATAATAGAGAGGATGGCTTTCACCTGGACCTTGAGGATTATTTGCTGGGTTTGCTTCAGTTGTCCGCCGAATTGGTACGTACTTCTCATTTCCTCATCTGACAATTTCTCACTGACGGTCCGCGCCAACGGTGTTTCCTTTTCAGAGCCGTTTCGCAGTAAATTCCGTCACAGGTGGCGATTACAATCGGCCGATAGAAATCGCGCAATTCCTAAACGAACTGAACGCTGGCTTTAGACTTTTGAACTTGAAGAACGACATGTTGAGGAAACGTTTCGACTGTCTCAAATATGACGTGAAGAGAACTGAGGAAGTAGTGTACGACCTGACTATCCGTGGCCTGAAACCCGCTGCTGCGTCCGCCTCTCCGAGCCGGCCTACTGACGAAACCGTCTAGATATTCCTTCTATATATTTTTTAATTTTTTTTTCACACTAACGTACCTCCTGCGTAATCTTACATAATTTACGATCGCATAAAGTAAGATTTTCACACGTAATAGATAATATATATGTATAAACATTTACATACGTTTAATAAACGTTCTATGTGTTCCATAAGATGCTTCTTGCTAATCTTCCGTCTACCGGAAGCTACCGACGAGATCGTCATGGATCTCGTGGAAGAGTTCAAAGTTTGCCGTAAAAATTCACCTCGTAATCATTAAACGAGTTTTCGGACATGGAGTGAGATCTTCGCGAAAATCAACAGGCTAAAATTAAGACGAGCGCACTTTCTGGACGTTTCCCTTGCGCACGTGGCTTGAGTAATTTATAGCGAACGCAACTCCCCCCAAGGTCTCCCGCGTGTGTCGCAGCAGCGTGAGAGACCGCGCGTGTCCCACCGTTCGCGTCCCAGCGCGCTCTGTGCAGCTAAAAAGAACGAACCCCGCATTCATATTCATATGTCAGCGCGCGCGGCAAGAGTGTGGCTGAGTGAGGGAGGATGTCGTAATGGCAGTAGGAATCGAGACACGTGGTCTTCGAGTGCTATCGAGGGTATCGGTGGGATCCGTGAGCGATGGAATTAAAAAATTTGCCCCGGACGTAGATCGAGAGAAATGCCATGTGATACGCCGATGCCTGAATGAAACTTTTGCTAAACACCGGCGGCGACCGACGCTCCGAATGGTAAACACAACGATATTTGTATTTACATAAATATATCTGTTAACATCGTTGGTGGAAAAAAAAATTACACGAGGACAATCGCGCGAAGAGGATCCACCGGAGAGCGAGAGAAAGAGAGAGAGAGAGAGAATCTCGAGAGAAGAGCGCGTTATTATTTTCGAGAGATTTCGAGAAACATCCGGAGGCACGAGGTGTCGCGAAGTGTCTGCAGTTTCCCCGCGGATCCCCGAGAAGTTTCGAGAAGGCTGCTTTTCAAGCGCGGTCGGCCTGCGTGAGAGAGATTGTGGATTTCCTTTGGCGGTCCTTGCGCGAATTCGAACGGGGAGAGGCTTAAGGCGCGTTCACAGGAGGCGCGCGGAACGCGTGGCGTGACCGAGCCGGCCAATCGGCGGGCCGGTTCCGCCGGCGTGGCGGTGCCGACGACGCGGCGATTCCCGCGCGGCGCGCGTCGGCCCGCGGAACTGCACGGCGGCGGCCGAACGTGTTAAATGGCTGTGCGTCGGCCATGATGGCTTTGAGCAGGGACCGTGTCACGCAAACATGTTTTCAAAGTGATATATCTCGTTTGGTGACTGAGTGACCGTGTTCCAGCGCGATGGCCGAGGAACGATGAGGCGCTGAGCACTCTCTGTGCCGGGTAATTCGGCCCCCAGGGCCCCGAGCCAGGCCTCGTAAGCAGGTCCACGGCGTTCCACACGAGCCCGAGGCCCCCCCAGCCCGACCCGACTGGCCCTCACGGGTGCGAGCCAGCCATCCTTGGTTGTCAACACGCGCGCGAGCCAGCCGCCCCTCAGGATGAGCAAGCTGTCGTTCAGGGCGCGCGCCCTGGACGCATCCAAGCCCATACCGATCTACATGGCCGAGGAGCTGCCGGATCTGCCAGATTATTCGGCCATTAACCGCGCGGTGCCCCAAATGCCCAGCGGCATGCAAAAGGAGGAGGAATGCGTAAGTCGGAACGTCCAGTCTCTCGTTCCAGCATGTTTTCCCCGTCCGCCATCTTACGCGCACGGCGCCCGATTTCGTAAACAACCGGCAGATGGCAGCCCGTCGACGTTCTTCGTCGTGTACCTCGGAAAATTGCAAAATTTCTCGCCTCAACGTAATTGCCTGTCCGATCGTCATTCCTTCCCGTTTTCCACCCACCCTTCCGCACCCCGCCCGAGAACCCGCGACAGCTGTCAGTCTTTCGTTTCTTCGTAATCGCAGTCTTTCTCTGTCACGGGCCTGGGCTGCCTTGTTTCTCTCTCCCCTGGCGTCGAGGTGTCAAGTGTCCTCTCACTTGATGTCTCGATCACGTTGTCGCGATGCTTCTCTAGGTTTAGGGGGATACCATCGATACGCTGGAGTCTGGTTTCACAAAGAAACTTGACGTTTCAACGAAATGAACTTATTATAATTATTATTATTATTCTAATATCTGTCGACTCGGCTTGTCACATGCATTGCGTTGTGGCAAACTGCTAATGTAATTGCAGCCTTGGGACACTTTGGGTGTCTACAATGATTCTCTGTCTGATTCTCTGTCACATCGTGGCAATATTTTGCCAATGGATGTTCGATATACTTTGTGATTTTCATAATGTAAACTCATTGTTGACTATTACTATTAAGAAATATGTAAATTACCTGTTACTTTTGTAAATGTGTCCTTTAAATACGATAATTAAGCGAAACATACGAAAGAAAGTTGACTATTTAGAATTGATTGATACAACTTCTCCCAGAATTAGATTAATTTATATAAGCAAATTCAAGTCTATTGTTAAATAATCACACGAATGATTTATATATATCACATGTGAAAGTTACATATTCATATGATAACAGCAATTGTGTTGTGGTTTATAAATGCAATAAGTCTCGACTATTTTAATTAAGTTCTCAGATTCGAATTTACAGGAATAATTAACCAAGTCTATTCATTCCGCAGGAACATCATCTTCAAAGAGCAATATGTACTGGTCTAATCATTCCTACTCCTGAAGTAACCGATCTGGCAGACGAGGAAGCTTATGATAAGATATATCCTGCTGATTATAAGTTGCCTCGCCAATTAATACACATACAACGTAAGGGAAATATGAGAAATTAGTTTCAACAATGTGTTCTTTCGATTACCACCTGGCGGAGACAATTTACAAGTGAAATTTCTTCTCCAGCCTTTGCCATGGAACAAGATATACCTGACTACGATATGGATTCGGAGGATGAAAGATTCGTTGCGTTGCAAAGCAACAAGATGGAGTTAACCCCGCTTCAATTTGAAGAGATGATGGACCGTCTGGAGAAGAGCTCCGGACAAACTGTAGTTACCCTCAACGAAGCCAAGGCACATTTGAAGGAAGACGACGATTTGATCATTGCAGTTTACGACTATTGGCTCAATAAGCGTCTCAAGACTGTAAATATCAAACCTGATGTTGAGGTTATGTGTTACCACTTGTACCTGCTTATAGATTACATATTAGGATTACAAAGACGCTATGCTCATTTTATTAACTGCTTTGCGTGTGCATTAAATTAAATTATTTAATGGCCTTGGTTCAGTGAATATATCATATGTACATATGTGTGTTCGTAGTGTTGTGTGTATATGTTCACATATCCTTAACCTGATTTATTTCTTACAGCAACATCCACTGCTTCTAACGGTTAAAACGGAGAATCGATACGGTTCACCTGCCAATAATCCGTATCTCGCGTTTCAACGCCGAACGGAGAAGATGCAGACTCGCAAGAATCGTAAGAACGACGAGGCTAGTTACGAGAAAATGCTGAAGCTTCGTAGGGATCTCACGAGAGCGGTCACTCTGTTGGAGCTGGTAAAGCGCAGGGAGAAAACGAAGCGGGAGCACCTGCATCTGACGATCGAGATTTACGAGAAACGGTTAGGGCGGAATTTTTCTAACGTCAGAGACGTTACAACGTCGTTTCTCGTGTTCATTAAGTGACCACCTGGCTACACTTGATTCCGCAGGTATCAAGCGCAAGACTTCAGCGGACAGATATTGGCGGAAGTGTCGGCGTTAAAGGTACCGCGACCGGCGTTCGCTCCACTTTTTACCAATCAATTCGGTGTTCATCAAAATTGGTCAAACAAAGTCTGTAGTAAAGTAAGCACGAATACTTGCGCATCCTTCTAAGCGCCACGATTCCCGAGGGAATCGCGAAATCGTGTCTTGGATCGTCTCACCTAACGTCGCCTCGTTCTTGATCCAGGACGAAGTAGTGCCCAGGAAAGAAAAGAGACAGTACAAGAAGCGGAAACATAAAACGGACAACAGGAGCGGGAATTTGGACGACGCCGGGATGCGTAGTGGAACGGGTAGTGGAGGTGGCCGAGGGAATCGTCCGGGTGTTCTCGGAAGCGGGCTGGACCCGCTCATCAGTTCGGATGAGGACAGCCCACTTCCATCTCATTCGCACACCCAGCCACCGTTACCCTCCGAACGCGATGACGAGGACGCCGCAGATGAGGGTCAATTCGCCTTTCGTCGGAATAGATATAGCACTTATTTACCGGTGAGTCGAGATTCGTCGTTGTTTTTTTCTGAAAATGTTCATCTCGTCGCCGGACTGAACTCGATACCGAGATACAAACTGTGCGATATCGCACGGTGCAGAGAAAGATGAGCCAAGTTATCTGCTGTGATGCGCCGATTTCGTTCTCGGTTTGTAATAGACTTGCCAATATTGATTCTACACACATCTCACTTCAAAAATCCCGTTCTAAGCGTGGCAACGCGCAGATCTTTAAAAAAAAACGTGAACAATTAATTCCAAGTTCTCCTCTCCCCAAAAATGCGAAAGTTTTCTTTTTCTCAAGATTGTGCGAATAAGAAACTCTTCTATTTGCAGCCTGTATCAGGTGGCTTTGGAAATTGGCCTTGGTGTGATAAAAACGAAGGCGGTATGGCTGATAAGAAGTATAGGTTTGCGCTGACCAGCATCAGCAAACCAGTGCCAAGGTGTATCGGCTTCGCGCGACGAAGACTCGGTCGCGGTGGCAGGTACGTATTTCGTTCGGTGAACAGTAAACATCGAAGAAAATGGCGCCTGTGTTAGTGGCATAGTTATTCACAATTTCTGACAATTACGCAGGGTGATACTGGACCGCTGTACGGCCGATATGGACGAGATATGGTCCTCTTTAGACTTCACGATACACGAGTCCAGGTGTGGACCAGCGGATTCGAATGCTACTGCCACAGCAACGACCACTCTTAAAGCAGATCGGTATGACTTTACATTATTTCATAATTTATTAACAGGAACACGCTTTAATTGTTAGATGATACAAAAAGACTTGGCAGAAAATGAAAAAAGAAATATATGTTGTAAGAGCGATATGAAAAAGAGTGAATCCGCATGACAGTATAGTGACGGATCATTGAGAAAGTAGAAAGAAAAGAAATAGCAGTGAGACATGAAATATTAATATTAATAATGAAGGTGAACCGATAATAATATAATTAAACTGTTACGTAGTATATTACATGTGAGTAAAGATTATATCGTCGCTTTATGCATTTACGTTATACAGGGAAAAATGCAGTGAAATTTCGAGATAAAAAAGGAATAATTAATTAAAGTAGATTACATTGTTGCGTATTTCCATTCCGCAGGTTACATTTTCGACCAAAGACTCCGCCTACGTCGGTGCTTAGCCCGAGCGAGGAAAGCAGCGACATGGACTCGGACGTAGAGTCAGTGGTCTCTCGGCCCAAGCCGCTTCCATACCCGTTCCCGCTCGAAGCAACGTCCATATGCGTCGAGGTGGAGCCGGATCGCGCGGGCGACGAGTCGCCGTACACGTCGGAGTTCAATATCGCGGACTACTTCTCGGCGGATGCCCTCTCGTCAGACTTTGATCTCGCGGTGGCGGGCATCAGCGGCGGTGGTGGGTGCCTCAGTGGTTTGTCGGACGGTAACCCGAACGAGATCTCGCGGACAGACGAACTCGGTAGTTCGCACTTCGTGGTGACGCCGCTGGCGAGCAATCTGTTCGCGCCGCCCGTGCCGACGGCGACGCAGCAGGCTCGGCCTCAGTGCAGTGGTGTCAATACTGGTGGTTTTAACGTTGTACATACTCCAACAAGTTCTTCTTCGTCGATCTTGTCGTCGTCGTCGTCGTCATCGTCGTCGTCATCGTCGTCGTCCTTCGTCACGTGCACGAGCAACCAGCAAATTGCCGCTGCGTCGAGTACTGTGTCTACGCAGTGCACCGGTGCCGCCGTCGACGCGCAGTCGAATCACCAGTCCAAGCAACACAGACAATTGCCGAACAACAGTACCGCTGCCTCCATTCTCTCGAAATCTTTGACTAGTCCGACGAATAATAGAAATGGTAGCAGCAGCTGCGGCGGTGGCAACAGCAGCGGCGGCAGCGGTAATAGCGGTAACGTTGGTGGCAGTGCGAACGTTCGTGTGTTCAGTGCGAGCACCGTGACCAGTGGTGGTGGTGTTGTTGTTGTCGGTGGTGGTGGTGGTAATAGTGGCAGTGGTGGCAGCGGCGGCAGCGGCAACAACAACAGTAGCAGTGTTGTCGTCGGCGGTAGCATCACAAACTTTGGCAACGGTCATCAGAATGGTCCGATGCCTACGCATATAAACAATTCGAACAACCTGACTAACAACACACACGTGGTGAACAACCAGTCCACGATAGTTCTGCCGCAGAAGCATCCACCGTCCAGTCTGCTACCGGGCCTGATCACGCAAAGTAAATTAGCGAGCCTCGCGAGGCAGCAGCAGCAACAGACGCAGAGTCAGGCGCAACAAATCCCAACGTCCGGGGAAATTACGCTTAATAGTAATAGGTAATTTTGTTCGGCAATTCATTCGTAAAGGAAATTCGGCCGTTACAGAATTTAGATTGGAAGTTATTATTATTAATCTTTCTTTTTCTCATATCGAACTATCGGTGTCTGTTCTTTATGGCTGAACTGGCTCGAGAAATTTACATATTAAGGCGTATGAAGCGTGTGAGATTCTTACTCTTCAGTGTGCGTAATTTTCTTGAATTAATGCAGCCAGTTCAGCTGTAAAGAACAGACCAAATGTACACAGTTCACACGTGTATATTTTTCAACAATGGCTACATTCAGCAGAAAAGGACACTCGGTGAGCGCTTGGTGATTATCGACTGTGATTGGAATATTCTTTGAAATTCTCGGTAGATCCAGAGGAATGTACCAATCAGGAATAATAACCATTGAACGCTCACTGAACCGTTTTCTCTGCTGAACGTAGGCATCATAACAAGTACAAGTAGCAAAAGCACCGTAACCATGCGTTCTTCAAGAAACTAAAATACGGCAATAAGCAAAGTCGAGTCTGCATTTGCGACAAAATGCCAACTGTCGAGTTTTCTATTAAACGTTGGCTCGTTTGATTACAGTGAAAGTTTGGATATGGAGGTGGATGGAGTGGACAGTTCGCCGTGCGACAGCAAGCCGCAGCAACAGCCGCAGCTAGTACGGGCGAACAAAGCAAATTCACTGGCGATGGAAGTGACATGATGCCTGCTATTGGCACCCCTGTTGCCGCCAATACGTCACTGGGGGCTTCGCTAACTCTTACCTTGCCTATGTCTCCGCCTCGGTTGGGAGATATCGGACGTACTACGATATACTGCGCTACGTTGACTCGAAGAGCGATACGGCTAGGTACAATTGCAACAACCCGACTCGGTTTTTATATTGCGGCGGCGCGATCAGGAACAAACGTGGATTCTAATGCAGACACCGAAAGTTCATCTTCTCTTGGTTCTGTCCATCGGGGAGTCGTGCTCTGTAGTTTCAGACTCGTGCTCTTCGAATCTCGCGTTTTTCCTTGCACATTGAACGCTACGTACGATTCGGCGGCCATGTGGAAAGGTGTTTCCACCTCGTAAGCGCACGATTTTAACTTGAATTTGCCCGATCGCTCAAAATTAAACGTTACTTTCACCACTTCGCTATATTCTACAGTCATCTGGTCTGTTATGACATGATATTATAGACCAAGTGAAATCACATATTCGAGTCACTTCGGCAAACTAAACACGCGGTATCTCTTCGTTATTCCCGATAAAAGCGATATTCGTTTCCGGTCGTTCAATGGAAGGAAAATCGTAATCGGATGTAAATCTCTGAGATGCGAAGAGCCTTACATTCATCTGGACATCGTTGAAAACCCTCGTTTGTCGATTCGGTACTGTCCAAGTACACACGTGGCATGATAACTGGACGCATACAGCAAGCTTTCTCAGACACAGCATTGATTATTGACACAGCATTGAATGGTCAAAATTCAGTAACAACAAAAGAAAAGAAAAAAAATAGAAACTCTTTTAACTTTGTACTCTTATACAACGTTTGTCGCGTGAGATGTACGCTCAAGAATCAATAGAGGCTTTGCGTTTGATCGTGGATGATTACCGATGATACGATTATTGGTTTCACGTAGATAAATGATTAATCATTTTGGAAATTACAATTACGGCGCGATATTCTTTCTTTCTTATTATTATTTTTTCCTCTCTTCAATATAGCGTCTACAGTGTAAATTCGAAGCGCTACATTAGCAATGAAGGGAATTGTATGATAATCTGTTTGTAAGTACAATAGTACGCTCGACTTACGTCTCATTGCTTTCGATATAAGTAGAACTACAGGAAGTAGCAGAAAAAAAATAGATTGATTTCTTATGAAATTGTACGATTGTCTCAATATTGTATATAGAGATTCGGTTCGAGTATTATAGGACTTTGTAGTAATGCTCTATTTCCCTTATATATATATATATATATATATATGTGTATATATATATATACATATATATGTACGTAATACTACTTTAAAGGCTTCCAGGCTGTGAAATATTGAAGCTATTGTTATCGATTAATCTTTGATAGCATTAATGTCATTAATAATCGTAAAAGATTTTCTTTCGCTCTATCTTTTTCTCTATTCACTTCTCTCTCTCTCTCTCTCTCTCTCTCTCTCTCTCTCTCTCTCTCTCTCTCTCTCTCTCTCTTTTTTCTCTCCGATAACCGCCAAAACGTGCGTTTTGATACTGCATATCCGTCATACGGATTATGCGATTGATATGCAATTATAATGTAATTTTATAATGTTGCGTTTGGGAAGCTTGTATCACAGAATTTGCGAAGGGATCACACATTCGTCACACACACACACACACACACGCGCGCGCGCGCGCACGCACACACAAAATATACTGTATTAGAATCTACAGGGAGAAGCTCATAAGCGATGCATAACAAAACTTACGTCTTTCAAATTGGTAACTGCAATTATAACTGCTATTGGTGTAGAGATATCGTGTACTTTAAACATGAATTTTGACGAAACGGGCAAGTAGTTAAAAATTTTGCATTTTTAGAAATTAAATATATTTTTATTTTTTATTTTTTATTTTTTTCTCTCTCCTCATACCTCTTCTTGCTTCTCCCGCACGAACGAACCCGGCCGAGTGAATTTGTGACGAGCTGTCTGTTGCGACAATATCGCACCTAGTGCGTCACACTTTCATCCGTCCTCTCGGACTCTCTATAACCATTTTACCGTAGACGAATATAAACATCGGAAAAGAGTCGTCGATACTTGTATTCTTATTTGTAGAGAGTAGCGGCATTTCTATGGCTCAGATGTGTGAATGCGAGCGTTTAAATCCGCGCCACACGTTGCGCTCTGCACTTTAGAGACTCGAGCGTGCAAAGCGAATTCGTCGTCAGGCGTTTGGGCGGGCACATATCTCAGCCATATCATTCCTCCTTCGAGAATTTCGCGCTGCCGAGCCAAATGACACTTCGTTCTTTACGCTTTTCGGTCTGCATGTACAAAATTCGTCGTAAAAGCCGCGCTCTGTTGATACAACTGAACAAATCATCATGGATGTGTTCCGAGGCACATGTACCATTGATTCGAGTCAAAGCATCTTGTCGTTGTTATTTACATTTGATCGGAGCATGCCTCTCCTCTCTGTGCGCGATAAAACCGTGTGGGCAAGCTTTTGCTGTGGAAAGCTTGTTGCTTCGGAACGAAGAAAATTCCAACAATGTATACTTGGTTCTGGGCCCCTCTTACGCTCCTCCCTTTTTTCCTTTCCACGTCGCGTCGTCTGCCGTTCTGCCTTCGCTTCGTCGACAAGCAAAAGAAAGGCGTTGCAAAGCACGTAGAGTCGAGAGAATTTTCCTTTACGATCGGCAAACCGACAATATATCGTCTGTACATTTTAGTTTTAAATACACACACACACATACACACACGTGTACATACAAACGCGCGCAATGTTCTAGACGAATCGCAAGCGGAATATACGCAAGCCTGGATTAACGACGTTCTCCCCCAGGTTCGGTCGATGTCGAGAAATCCACTAGGAACAGACCTTCTTTTTTTTATAACTTCTCCGCAGTCGCAATTCGCATTCTCCTTCGACGTACTCGATAGTGTGTTGTATTTTTCTCGTTACTGTAAAAGCGAGCAGCTGCATTACGAAGGCAAGATAAAGTGCAAACGCGGGATTCGGGAGACTACAGAGAGACTTTCGTTATTCATTTATTCAGTGAGACAAAATTTCTTTTCGGAAGCAGCACCGATCATTGAAGCTGATAATCCGGGATAATCATCTGGAAATATTTATTCCGGGTTTCATCTCTGTGAGGGGGAGGGAGGGGGAGGGAAGAACAGGAAGCAAAAAGACGCCTATCTAAAGGAATCCTCCTCGCGATAGTTGAACGACGGGAAGAAACGATTTGTCGCCAGCCGTAACGCGGATAACACGTGGGCAAAGATTATGGTGCGAATGTTACAAATTGTAGGGTGACTCGAGGTCGTAATAAGAAACGAAAGAGGGAAAAAAAAGGATATATTGTACATATAAAAATAATTACGCTTATTGTATCTCTTACTTTTAGGTAATTAACTAAATAATATTAACTGTAATTAATGTTGTTGTGGTAGGCGCACATACAATGTGTACGGAGATTTATGAATTCAAGACGATTTTAGGAGGAGTAATAAAGAAATTTTATCCTGGATAGGACTTATTATTTTGTTAAGATCTTCACATACACACACACACACACACACACACACACACTCTTCGCTTGTATATTATCTAACATTTTTGTGAAATCCGTTTTCTGACACGTATTTGTACATACTCTTTAAGTACTCTTCATTATTTCTCTCTCTCTCGTTTTTCTCAGATTCACTGTTGCGCGCGAAACTGTGTAGCCTCCATTCTCTCCACCTCGTTCGCTCGTGGTACCTGTAGGCATCTAGCTTTTATAAACGTTACTCGCTCGCCGTTAGACACGTACACGTGACATACACACAACATACATGCATACGTTACATCTGTCTCCTGGCATATACACCGCTGCGTGTATGTACTGCGTATATATACCGCTGTCGAGATTTTTATCCGCCGCCTTGAAAGATTAAAGGGAAAAAAAAGTATAAAAGCAAAAAAAGAAAAGAACGAAGCGACAACCCTTCCGCCAGATGATTTTGAGAAGAACGAGCGACTTTATGTGAAGAATGGAAAGCGATCCGAGAAAGAGCGTAACTTGTGTAAAGAAAAAAAAAAGACAAGAGAATTCGTTTATTTTAGTTGAGACGCTTTGAAACAAAATATAGTGTGGATTTTTATATAAAATTTATTAACGTTAAAAAAGGTAACGACCCGATAGCCATTAGAGAATTAATAAGAACGTCGAGAATCGTCAAGATATGATCGCTCCGACCAAAGACTGAGTTCGCTTTACATTTCTGGTTTGGCAAACACGAAATTCCACTCGCAAAATGCGCAGACCGATTCGCCTCGCGACGGAGAATCGCCGCAGCGGAAAGCTCGGTTCGATCGGAGTCCTTTGCTGTGAGTTGAAAAAAAATATAAATGCCCGCTGTTGTCACAAGGACATTCGAATCTCTCGCTTCGATCGCGAGAAATTCGAATCGTAGGGACGAGTGAGAGGGGTCGAAGGGTCGGTCGGATTGTGAGACTTCGTGTTTACCTAATTCGTTGCATTCGCGAGAAACAAATAGTGTATCATGTAAGTAGAAGTAAGACAGATCAATGCAAATATTCTGAGTGATCGGAGAATGAGAACGGGATAAAAGAAAACGAAAAAAAAAAGAAAGAAAGAAAGGAAGGAAGTTGTCGATCGCGTTTCGCGCGCGAAGAAGAAGAAAAGGAATTGCGCGAAGAGGGGAATGAGCTTACCGGTTATTTGTAGGTAAACGTAAGATCGAGAGAAAGCTCCTCAAAGATTTTTTGCGTGTTAAACAGATAATTAACGATAATATCGACTGACGAGTGTCGAGGCACGGTGTAATCTAACTATACGTGTACTTTATTCTGTGAATACAGTGTGTAGGCACTTCTGTGTCGCTGTGCGACAGGAAAATTTAACTGGAATGAAGGGATAAAAGAGGTAAAAGAGAGAGAGCAAGAAGAAGAGGAGGAGGAGGAAGAAGAGAAAGAAGGAGGAACGAGAAATGACGCTTCAACCAAAGCTCCGATTCGAACGAAAAATTCTGGGCGCGAGTATATACATATATATAAATATAAATATATATATATATATATATATATATATATANATATATATATATATATATAGTAGGAGAGAAATTTTTCTCGAATACTATATATTGTACAGTCGGAGAACTCGCAGAGGGACAGAGAGAGAAACGTAGAGAGTTCTATATGGCATATATATAGAATATTTGCTCTCTAGAGACACAACCCTACGACTTGTTCTTCGATACGACGCATCATTTAATCTCTTTTTTGTCACCTGATAACACCTTTTATTGGGGGTGGGGGAGGGAGAAAGAAAATATACGCGCGCGGCTGTCGCCCGACTGTCAAAGACGATGAATTATCATCACATGTAATATGTCAAATACTGAAATACACGTCCTATTTATGAAACAAACTAGTATCCGACGAGTGATTTAATGCATACCCGAATCAACTGTCACGACTACCCGGTATGGCGAACACTTTCCGGCCACACTTCGCAGTCGCAGCATTGAGTTCTGCGATACGCGGCGACAACGATTCTTCCAATTGTTCTTTCGTTGACGAATGTTTTTTTTCGTATCTGAACAAACGAGTATATATATATATATTTGCCTTTGTTACTTTGTCGAGAGTAGAACAGAGGTGTTACCAGGTAGATGAGTTAACACATTTCCTACAAATTATGTATAGAAACTTAAGTATTAATATTCGTAATTACTGCGACTAACACAAACACATACACACATATACATACCCACACACATGCGATAGGAGACAATGTGTAACTAATTGAGTGTATATAAGTAAGTCAATTTACGGGTTGCATTTTGGCTATTAAATATATTCTAATTGTGTAACTTTTTCTCTCTCTCTCTCCAGGAGGAAAAGGCAAGATCGGCTAATTATGAGAACGACTATTGTACATATTCGTATACATATGTACGTATACACATATACAGCTCGTGAGCCTGTACATGCAAACACGACATACATATATATAAATACGTATATATAAATATAAAGTGGGAGAGATTGTGTGCGGCGCGTTAGGTTGCAATTCGTTGTGTACAGGTGTTGTACGCGGCGACTCTTTAGAGAGCGCGTGTCGACAAGTCGAAAGCAATTCTAAAATCTACTCGTTGTATTCGTTTCACTTCGATATGCGTTGGTGTATGCCTTTCGTTTTTGCGCTCGTCGTCGAGCGAGTCTCACATCATTTCGAAAGTATCGGATACGGCTCTCTTGTTTTTCAACAAACAGCAAAACTCCCTTGTACTTCTCGAACACTCGATCAAGGTCGCTATTACGTTTTGACTGTGCCGATTAGAGCGCGTGAAAATTACACTTGGATATATATATATATATATATATATATATCTCTCTCGGAAAACAATTTGACAAAGCGGGCCTGCAAAAATAAATTCTGATTACACTGACTATCAAGTAATTTTTTTTTCGACAGCCTACCTGCTACACTCATCGTGTCGCATAGAGACGTGACGTTATTTATCAATTACGATACCTTTATCAAGTTTCGTCAAGCACAAACGTGCGTGAGAGCGAAATAGAGTACCTCGTCGGGTGAAATTTAAAAATTAAAAAAATTCCCTCTCTTCGGAGGTTATGTTTCACAATTTATTTCCCGCCACGCGCGATAGTTGCGCTCTGCGCAGAATACGATGAGTCATAACCTCTCGAGACTTTGTCCGACCGTGTGCGTTATTCCGTACTTCCAGATCTTTTTCGTTACTGAGGTAAGACGAATCAGACAATTGACAGGGCGGTATTGTGTTCTTCTACCAAATGTCGACTTACGGGCAAAAATCAAGTATCGTTGATAGCTTACCGTTTTAGTACCGTTCTAGTACGATACTACGTTTCAACTCTGTATCATTTAATATAAAAGAAAAAAGAAACGTTTGTATTCTCATCTGCCGGTGATCTAACGATATAGAGTATGTAAATATTGTAATTTCTTTGGTCGATCCGCTGTAGCTTACATTAAGTTTTACTTAAGACGATAGGATAATGTACGAACGAAATAAAAAAGAATATTGAACAACATGATGCAGAATGATCCGTTTGTTCCTTCAGGTGTGAGAGAGATTGTGTTTGTGACGTCCACGCCGCATCTTCGTAACATCCATTGCACAAATGAACTATGCATGATATGTGTATAACGATATATTTGTACTGTGCGTTTGTACTGTGCGACAAATGTCCTGCAAATTGATTTGTTTGTGACATGAGTCTTCGTACATTGTGACGGTAGGAAGGTATAATGACACAAACCCGAATAGATCAATTCTATAAAGTAGCGAGTAAGAAATCTGGAAATACAAAAAATAATGTAGGAAGGACATCTGCTTCGCACAGATTCGGAATTAATGGAAGAGTAAGTTAATCATGATTCACTTCTCATGATGGATACATATGATAACGATTTAACCGTGATAAATTAACCATGATTAATGTGAGTATTTTCCATTACCAAATAGAAAGGAGAAATATCATTGGGAAATTTGGAAGCTGCTTCTGTATGTAAAAAAAAGGCGGGTGCATCGAGAGGAAGTTGGAGGAAACGCATAGCGCGAAGAAGTAATATCTCGATAAGCACTGGGACGTTTTATTCTTCGAAAGTCAACATGGTGCACAGTCCAATCAAAACTATAGAAGCTAAGACAGCATCATCACTATCTACCAACACACCAACTGTCAAACAGATTTCCCCTACTTCGAGTCCCATGAAAAGTCCTGTGTCGTCGAGGAGCTCAAATTTTACTCCGAAATTTACTCCGAAAACCCCGTCTCCGATAAAGGAAGCACTGGAGTCTCCGAGAAGCCTTAAGATGGCGCGAAGGAAATTGTTCAGTGACAGGATAGAAGAATTAATGCCCATAGTGATAGACAATCTTAACCAGGCGAAAGAAAGAGCTATTGCAAACAATGACATCAATCTGGAGAAGGTTTATTCGAGTGGAGAATTCAATTACAAGTACAATCGTATAGACACGACAACTTCGACGAGATACGAAATCAACGATATAATAATGCCGACCGATACGTATTCGCGACATTTTTTCTCCATTATCGCCAGCGTCTTCTCCAAACCGTTCAACTGCGGATACTTCAACGAGTATGAGTTAGACTTAATATTTTCGCTGCTGACAATTTCTAAGAACGCACAGGCCCTGATGATACGCATGCTGAAGAGAAAGCACATTTGGCACAGAACAGACAATATCAAATACGACAACATATCCACCAACTTGAGTCCTGTCTTCGACGAGCTCGTGTCGCGATCTATTTTTAAAAGTAACGCGAAGGAAGAAGATATGACCGTTCTGTTGAAGCTGTTGCAAGTCGAAGAGATTCGTAAGCTTTGTCAGGAATATAAGGTCTGTGCCAGCGGCCGTCACAAGAAAGAGCACTACGTACAATCGATTCTAAAATTCCACCATAATAGCAAACCCTTGTTTCCCGGGATGCCAAATCCGGTCACTAAATTGCGTGCTTCGGTGAATAAAATTCTAGGATGCTGCGTACTGATCGACACCAACGTGAGTAAAGTAATTGATAAAATAATTACGCTGCTGGTGCCTAATCAAGATCCCCAGCAGACCATGGCGGATTTATTCAATACGTTGGTGAGAGTTGAAATGAAGGAAATCAAATACCCAGAAGTAATGGTTAGCGACTTTCCCATTTTCGCCAATAAAGAACACCTGTCGAAGTAGGCAACGCAATACGATTTCTACTATTTGTAATTCGCAGTGCGTTTGTATTTTTAATGTAAATCTTACTTTACAGATATATGGAGGCTAAGAGCGCGCTCTGTCAAGTATTGTATGCAATCGAGAAGAAACAATGGGATGTCGTACGACAAATCGGATCGCAAGCCGAGGAACGTCTATCACTTCTCTTAGGAAGAGAAACCCAAAGGTAACAGACGACGCGTGCGATCGCGTGGATTTTGTGACTGAAATTACGTCGAGAGATAAGTATCGCTTAGTTCGTTTGCAGTCTGCAAAACTCCAAATTACCTCGTCACATCAGGCACTTTATGCCGTGCTACATGTGGCTCAAAGTTCTGTCCAAGAGTATCGACGCGTTTAAGAAGAGCAAAGAAACACTGTCGAAAGCGATCAAGTATTTGCGCATACTAGTCAAGCAGAAGTGTCACATGAAACACAAGAAAGGGCAGTGGTACAATGAATTAATAAAAATACAAGTATATCATATGAAGGATCCCGACGGTAGCGTCAAGCTCCTCTCGAAAGCTGTGGAACAGGAAAGTTTAACGGAAGTCGACAGGTTGGATCTGTTGGAGAGGGCGGAGAATCTCGCAAAAAGAAAATCCAACATCGATCAGCATTCGAAGGACACGGTTAAACAGATATTGGGCAAGGACCTCGACAAAGCGCGACTAAAATACACACCGAGTTCTATTACAATACAAGGAACTTTGTGCAGGTGAGTCATGCTGCGACAAATCGGCCGGTACTTTTAAACGGATTTAGGACAGGAATGTAAGTGAACAGATGTCGAGACGTGTGTCCTTTCAGGAACCTCTCGCAAAGGAAGAGCACCTGGTGCATCAACGAGGGGATCGACAAAGAGTACGGTACGGTCGAAAGTCTAGCGTTGTACGACTACAAGAAGAAGGGTTACGTCAAAGGTGTCCACTGCGAGGGTGCTTTTCCAGTTACCCTTTTGGGTACGTTATTCTGGGACGAGATCTACAACCTGGACATTCCCGGCGCTTGCGTATCGCCGTACGAGCCCACACCGTTGGATCTATTCACGTCGGAATTTTACGAAAATAGAAGAGAACACATCGACAAGAAGCTCCAAGCTATTCGGAAATTCGACGTAGAAACGTTGGGCAATCATCTGAAGCAGAAATTCGACTTACTGTGTGAATATACTTCCATCTGTCAGGGGAATATCTTTGACAGCGGTATCAGCTTCCAGGTGAGCAATTAATTTCGGCATTCGTGTGACGTCAGTGTAATTGTGTTTTGCGTCCGCTTGCAGGAGGTGGCGCTTTGTTTGGGAGTAGAAGGTGTAGTTGGGATCTGCGAACGACTCATTCATAACTATACACTCTGGAGAGCTGGCTTCCCAGATTTAATCGTATGGAATCCACGTACAAAACAGGTAAACCTCTATTCCTCTATTTACAATTTGAAGAAAAAAAAGATAGAAAATACATCATTATACAGCTTACATCATACAGATCATCAAATTATATTAGAAAATGCTATATTTCAATAAATCTAAATTATAACTGCATTTCTTCTAGTACAAAATTGTAGAAGTGAAGGGCCCCGGTGACTCACTCTCGACCAAACAAAAGTTATGGTTGCAATACTTGAATTACCTCGGACTGAATACGGAAGTGTGTTATTGCGAAGTAAGCGATATTTATAAAAGAGCTCAGCGTGCTATTATAATATGTCGAATATTACATGCTCTGCCATTCTTCAAGGTGCCAAGGCTTCTGTCACGGTGATAGTGCAGGGGCCTTGAAAATGATATCTGCAAAACAAAAATCATTCATCGATGAATTTTATTAACTGACCAATCCGCAAATGATGTAACGCGTATATCTTTTTCTGTTACAGTCCAAGAGAGGTGGGCGCAAGCGAAAGCACGAATGTGATATGATGTAACGTTTTCCACAGATATGGACACTCTTAAAGAGAGATATATATATATGCATATATTATGCTCCATACGTGTAAAAAAGATAGAGACATTATTTTATATTGATTGTGATATATTTCGCTTGTACGTATATATACAAATTTTTATATTTTTAATGTAACTGTTGAAAGCTTTAGCGTGTGAATGCTTGGCGATACAGTCAAACGATTTATATCAAGATTGAAAAGGAGCACGTTGTACTTACTGAACTTGCTTCGTGGCCGGCGTTTCCTCTATGTTGAACTCTGCGACCGGCACATTGCGTTGTGCCACTTGCGGCGCGAACATTGCGGCCGGATATACGACCGCCGAGGTTCCGATCACCAAGCAAGCATCGCACGTCTCCACGAGATCAACTGTGACATTTCGAGGGAAATCACCGATTAACGGACGAGTATGTTCGATTTATTCGTGTCATACATTTTGCGTTATGTTTTTTACGTTTTATATGTACAATCAGAAGGTGAGAATTATTATCCATGATTTATTTTATGTTTTGCGTTACGCATATCAAGATCTTTTATTTTCGATTGGAAACTGAAATTTTTTGCGCATTTTTTGTACCTCGTCATATTTTGTAAGTGCGATCATACTTGTTAAATTTATGCCTGAGCATTCTGCGATACATGATCAGTCAGATAATAGTGAGAGAAAACACTGATCAGGATAAGTACGTTTAGTTTCTTCGCGTCATACATTTTGCGTTGTTTTTTATGTTTTTATGTACGATAAAAAAGTTACAGATTATTAGCCATTTACTTTGCGATTCATGTGCTGTGTACGTCGAAATCCTTCATTTTGAATCGAAGACTGTCTATTTTTCGCGCACTCGTCAGAGATAAGTCTCATATTTTGTAAGTGCGATCATACTTGTTAAATAAAGTTACATACAAGCATCCTGCAGTACATGCTCAGCCAGATGTTCGCCGAACCACACGATATCAGGCCGCAGCAGCGCGCCGCAGCTCGCGATCTCACAACGCGGCAATTCTTCTACCGGTATATCAGACGACATAATGCCCGGGTCAGGCGATCTGTTACGGATGCGTTACCATCAAAACATGAGAAAGTTCGCGACACTCGCACGTGGGTGTCACGTATCTCTTCGTGCTCTGTTATCCGCTGCTATACGCAAGAGAATTCTCAAGAGGCGTACCCTTTCCCTTCCAACGACGGGCAGATAGGAATGTTCTCGTTGACTGAGATATTGTGGCACTTTGTGCATCGCGTCCTGTAAAGCGAACCGTGCAGTTCCACCACGTCCTTCGCCCCGGCCTTCTGATGTAGCCCGTCGATATTCTGCGTCACGATCGACACTCTCTTACCCTCCGCTGCCTTGCGCTTCTGAAACTCCGCCACGGCTGTGTGTGCCTGAGGAAAGAAGCGAGTTCCATAAGTTTGCTTCATTCTTTAGTAAATTATTAGGTTGATACAAAAGTCCGTCTCGTTTTTTAATCGGTTCCTCGCTCAGAAACCCCAGAATTATTACGAGTGCAGGATCATACGGCTATCTCTATCCTACTCATTTTTGCTACTCTTCTTTTCTTTTGTTTCAAAGTGGTCCTTTTAACTTAATGCCAAACCAACAGCACTATTTTTTTGTACCATATCGTACATAGTGCAAAATTATGTTTGGTGATACAATTTAGTACAAAATAAATGCTAAATATTCCAATAAGTCCGGTTTGATTCTGCTGAATTGGTCCTGCTCAATGAAAGTCATGCAGCTACTAGTGAGATGGCACCGAATAAACCAGTGTATACTTAATCGATTATATCTTAAAATAATTAAATATATGCTTTATTGTATGTATGTTTCAATTGAAGAACGAAATGAATTTTTGCATTCGCCCAATATATACTTGGTGATTCATTCCCCCTCGACAAGTTACATTACCTTGTTCGGTCTGACTCTGCTCACTAGTTGCCTGCGGTACTCGTAGAATTCCCAGACCAACGACGGATTCGCGACGAAGGCCTCCGGCGTGGCGAGATTCGGCGCCTGGTATTTGCGCCAAAATCCGCCGGCGCCGCGGAAAGTCGGCACACCGGACTCCGCGGAAATGCCGCTGCCAGTTAAGATCAGGATGTTGTTCGCGTTCGAGAGAACCTCGCGAAACGACTTCATGATGTTCTGCATTGGCTTTGTGCCCTGCGTGACGGTGCAAGTGATCGCGTCCTAAAACGCAAGTAATCACCGGCTTGACGTCCCCGTTGCGCTGATCAGCTGACGAACAGCTGACGCGTAACTAGGAAGTGGCGGTCGACCTGTTAACCTTAGAACGGCCGACCGCGGGATCCATTATGACTGATTGATTTCGATCCTTGATCACTTTTTACTTCACTCGCCGATGAATTTTAAACATAAAATATGTACGTATACGTATGTATACATAACCTAAACTACTCCGGTCTCGAGGTTGTCACGCTTTGGAGCGTCACACGCCTGTGTTTCCACCATCCTTTAAATCCAATCGACGATTGACCCAACCGGAATTGGCCAATTGCATTGAACAATCAGCTGAACTGATCAATGCGATTGGTCAATTCCGTTCATCGTCGATTCAATTTAAATCATTAGTCCGTTCTTTTTGGATGAACTGGCTGCGCTAGTTCAAGAAATTCACACACACTGAAGCGTGAGGGAGAATTCACACCTTGACAGAAAGGCAGAGAGCAGAAGAACAACAACAAGAATCAGAACTCGCGCTGGTAGTCGACAGTTTCTGCTTTATCTACTGCTTACTACCAGCGAGAATTCTGATTGACTACTGCTTTATGTCTAGGTCCTTTGGAACTATATTGTGTGTGTATGTGAGAGACAAAGAGAGAGAGAGAGAGAGAAAGAAAAAATCGTGCCTAACCTATAAAACAGGCTTGGCAGTTCAGAGGTGTAGTTGCTGCGTTAAAGAGCGTACGGCTCGAATAGTGCAGTAATATTTGCTGTGGACATCCGACGAGAGGATTGCACGATGCAACGGGACGAGAAACATTTGGATTCCGCTCTGGAGACCATCATATCGCGAGTGAACGATTTGAAGAACGCGATCGCCGCGATGGTGTTCAAACTGGAACACGAATACGAGACCCTGAATTGGCCCAATTTCCTCGACAATTACGCGTTAATTTCGGGTCACGTAAGTAATTCGTCTAATCGAGTCAAATAATGAATCGCCAATGAATCGTCAGTTTATACAATGTATTCAATCGGTACTTGACACTCCTCCATGTTTTATGGTCGTATTGTTTACACTTCAGTTGACCAGTCTTTCGAAGATTCTTGCGCCCGACAAAGCACCGAGTCTCAGGAATTACACGGTTCTGCCGCTGCGCCTGAGCCCGGAGAAAGACGAAGAGCTGCTCAGGCTGACTGAAGGTAGAATCCCCACCTTTGCGCACGACCTCGTGCCGGACTACTTGAGGACGAAACTGGAGCCTCAAGCTGAGCAGAAAATGATGCAGTTCGAAGCTAAAGCCAATGTTAGCAACGACGTCTCACATGTAAGATGCCCTTTTCATCCCACATTCACGTCTCCTGTTCTTATCTCTATGTTCTTTCCCAGTACGAACTCAAGTTATTTTCGAAGATACTTGTGATACTTCGAATATTAAATTGTTATTATTAACATACAGGTGAAGGTTTTTAAATTTATCACAATTAAGTATGTTGTATCTGTTAAGATAGACACGTATAGTTAACTGAAGATGTACTATTTTTCTGTTAACGTGCTAACTAAACAACAACTAGGACTACAATGTAAGCCACTAATCAGACAGCCTCGGCTTTATCGGTTCCATTCGCTCTGGGCCGAGATTGATGTTGTGTCGCAAGCCTACTTTGATAGCTATGTAAATCCTAAAGCATTCGTCCAGCTGTGCACCGACAGATGTCTGCCTGTCTGTGTTTGAATTCGCTATGCGGTCAGAGATTTTCGGGCCGGTCCATTTAGCGAGTGGAACACGCGGATTCTCTTACTTGGCGTGTTCTCACACGTGTTCCCGTTGGGTTTCAGAAACAACTGATGCAGTATACAAAGGTAGTTAGCCATGTGTGGGACATGGCGAACAAGGCGCGCGAGGAATGGGAGAGCGAGGCCGGCGCCAGAGCGACGCAAGCGCAGACCAACAGCGCTGCGGACACCCACACCCTCGTGGCCGCCGTAGGGATGGGGAAAGGCTTGAAAGTAAGTTGCAATCACGAGGAATAATAATAGAAACAGCTAAATTCTAAATTTCTGGTGGCTCTGCCATGTTTTTTCATTGCCTTTCGCTGCGTCTGCCAATCTTAATATGTTGTCTTTGACGCTCGCAGTCTGACTCCATACAAATGGTCCAATCCGGCGTAAATCCAGTAGCTGGCAGCATGATGGTGGGTAGACCCGGTAATCAACAGCAAACACCGGGACAAGGGCCTCTGGGTAATCCACCGTGTAAGTGTTCCTCCTCCGTGTGTGAGATCTTTGTTTTTTCCCCTCGTCGATAACGATGTTATTATACGACTCGAATTGATGATTTGCAGTGGGACAAATAAACAAGGCGCCGGGCGCGATAAAAACCAACATCAAAGCGGCCTCGCAGATCCACCCTTACAGATAAGTACACATCGCGGCATCTTTGTGGGATTCGGTACAATAAACGACAATATGATACGCAAACATTGATATGATAGTATTTAACTTATAATCTTAATATTAAACTTAGCAGAATTATATATATCGTCGATCACATGTGTAATCTTCCGTGCAAAAGATTCTGTAAATATATTATATGCTTTTAACAACGATGCAATTTTCGGACTCTGTCGTCTTACGTGAATATTCATAGAAAACTGTGCGATAAGTTTCGATTCGCCGAGAAGGAAGGTACAGTCGTCGACAGTAAGGTTGTCCCGTTTCCCCAGGCACAGTGAAAATCGGAAATTTCGAATTGGACGCATCATTTCTGAATATTTGTACATTACGACCGCTGCTTTGGAGCATTTTTACCGGTTTACAGAATAATCAGCAGTCGTGACGCGCGAATATTTCGGCAATGATACATCGAATTCGAAATTTCCAGTATCACTATGCTTAGGGAGAATTCACAGACCTTGATGGAAAAGCAGAAGCTGGTAGTCGGCAGTTTCTGCTTTATCACTGCGAGTTCTGATCGCCTGCTGTTTTCCTCGTCGAGATGTGAATTCTCCTTTAGAGAACGAGACAACCTTTCTGCCCGTGACTGCATCGATCTGAGGCGGAGAATCTTCAGCGTTTACGAGATACAATCGCGTGCGAACGAGGAGAGAGCCGTTTGTTCATCACAGGCACGATGACCGCTTCTAAGCCTTGCTCGTGTAACCAACACAAGCGATCCTGCAGGACCAGCGATTCCGCGGGGAGCTGCAGTATCATCTGCAGCCCGGTGTAAATCTCCACAGCTCTCATTCGCTTCTGCTGCTTCTCCCACACTCGCACGATGTCCTTCTCCAGCTCGTCGCGCGCGATCACGTCGCCTTCGCATGTAAGAATTTCTCTCGTCAATTTCTTATTTAATCCACCGACACCTCCCCATGGCCCTCCTCCTCCATCGATCGTATCCCGTCGCTGGAGATCGCTCACCTGTTACACTGATGTCCGTTCTTGGCGCCAGGTCGTACCTCAACAGCGAGTCTTTGACGTAAGTCTGGAAATCCATGCACTGTGACTTCCTCGTGCCCTTCCGCACCCTCTTCCTCAGAACGAGATTATCTGGAAGTCATCGATCGCGATTAATTGACCCACCGGTGTTACCAAGATACCGCGTGTTGCGAGCGTGTAAACAGACCACACGGACACCTACTCTGTCGCGAGTACAGCTCGAGCACGGCTCTGGCGAGGACGTGGAAGGAGTGTTCGCCGTGCTTCTCCGCGGTCATGCCGCGCCACTTGTCCGCCGATTCCTGGCACGCCAGTCGCAGGAAGGGCACCCTCAGGAATTGGCCGACGTCGAAGCTGTGCGTCTCGACGACCTCTCGCAGGCAGCTGGACATCGGGAAATTGTGGAAGTACTGCTTCTCCTGCGACGGTGTCCGCACGCTCTCGGAAATGGAGAGTTTGTGGTAACAGCAGGATATCAGGATGAAGAGTCGCGCGGATTTCATCCTGCGAAAGATCCTCGACGCGCTCGTGCTGAGGTCGCCGCAGGCGTGCAGACCGATCAAGCACGCGGCCGTAGTGCCGGGGAACTCTCGTTGTAGAATCGACTCGATTCGATTCGCGGAATCGCACGTCACGTCGCAACGGATGTATCTGACGTCGGCCAGAGACTCGGGGTACGATATCCGTTGCTTGGCGCAAGCTCTGTTCACGTTTTCCTCGTCCCTTTCCAATCCCAGGACTCGATAACCGTACAGGTAATGCAACATTTGGCACACGTACCCCTGGCAAACAATAGCGTCGTGGGTGTCTTTAGGACGTTCGGTAATCGTTTTTTCTTTCCTTGAATATATCCGAAACGATGAGAACAAGGGGGAGATTTGTCGAAGAGAAATTACACGATACAGAAACGGTCGTCTTATGATGGAAACGTTTTTTTTTTTAGATGGAGTAGCTTAAAAAATCCGAGGATCATTTTCGTCCTTTTAAATGGAGCCATGTAATTTTCTAACGTAAATCGATCCCTGTGCTTATTCTTATTTATAAAAGTAGCAAAATGAGATCGTCGAGAAGCGAATACTTTCCGGGATCCTAATGTTCTAGTATTTTTATACGCAGAATGAACGCAGGAATCAATTTCCTCCCTTCCTTCTTCATATTTTTATATCAACTTTAATATTGCCACTCTCTCACCAGACCGGCGCCCAAATCGATGACCGTTTGGATATCATATGGCTTGCATTGCGCGTGCACCAGGCGAGCTAAATGCATTATCTCGTGTTGTTTCTTCCGGCTGAGACCTATTCTGAAATTCTGCGGCAATTCGGTGGAAGGTAACGTGAGCGCGGACGATAGTCTGTTGGCTCCTTTGCAATGATTAACGTACTCTTTTAAGGAATCCGGCCAGTCCGACTAAAACATAACATACGTGAACACACTCGTCGCGCTAAATTGAATCCCCCTTTCTCCGATCTCTCGGCTAACCTTTGTCGTTTTCTCCACTACAAAATTATTCAGCTCCTCATTCTGCAAAACTTGCAAATGCTCCATCCACTCCTTGGGGATTGCGTCCAAACACCCGTTGGTTAGTATCTCGGTTACCGGTACGTTATGGAGCCATTGAGTTTCGTAAAACAAGCGTAACGCCTCGAGAAAGTACCTCTTTTCAGCACTGATATCCATATATGTACCTGACGAATAAATAAATAAACGAGTGGATAATAAACCCAGATGAGTAAAATTTGCAATATACCATCTCTCTTTACAAGTTCCGCATCTCAAATATATAAACATACGATTCAACAGACAGGAAGAGGAACTAGAAATTAATTCGACAACAACGTTTCTCATCCCTTTCAACGGAGATCTATTTAATGTACAAAATACCATAAATTACAATTTTCGATTAACAAATGGTCACGTTACCGGTATAACGCGTACGCCTTCTTTCCGACTTTATAATAATACTTGCGGCATGCCGAGCATGCGTCACAGGAGATGACACTTGACGACAAGTATCGACTTGCTTCCGGCCTAACGTAAAAAGAAAAAAAAAATGCCTCGTCAAGGTCCAAACAATAAGAACAATCTCATCTATCTATTTGGTTATCTATTCGGTGGCTCGTGCCTGGTCAGTTTCCTCTTGATTCACCACCAGCCAGTTTTCCGCGCGTCTATTCGAGATATCGTCGTTCGAGGACCCGATGAGCGAACGGCCAACCCTGACGCCGTTTTGGCCGGGGATCAGGTACTTCTCGGCCACGTGCAGGAGCTGCTCCCTGGTAACAATCTTCAGCTGCTCCCTCTGCCGCTGAAGATCGTCGTCCGTTATATCGTGGGTGAATCGGGTCATGCCTCGATTGCTGGGCGGGATGGGTGCGTCGATCTGCTGGAAAACTCCCAGCTTCGCCTCGTCCACGTCGCTCTGCGGCAACGGGTGCTTCGAGAGAAAGTCGTGCGCCTGATCGAACAGGTCGAAGGTACGCGTGGAGTTGGGGTCTCTGTAGGAGTAAAAGGAGAAGATCCCCTCGGACGTCAGCTTCGCTCCGCCGCCGTAAGCGCCGCCCTTCTCGCGTATCTCCGGGTGCAGATACACGGACGTGATCAGCTTGGAAAGGACGCGCAGCGCCGCGTAATCCGGATGCGTGTACGGCACCGTCAGGATGGCCTTCGAGCAGTAGTTCACCGTGTACGGCAGCACGTGGTGATTGCCGCTCTCGGACGCCTCGACGTTCTCGGCCTCGGTGATGACGTGCGGCTTCGTCGGCTGACCCCGCAGCGAGTCGTAGAACGCACGAATACCCTCCAGAACGTCGTCCTTGCGCTCCTGGGACAGGTTGATGGCCGAGCGCAGGTGCTGCTTGCTCAACACGTGACTCGCTATCTCCTGCATGCTGCGCATCAGGGGGCCGAGGTCGCGTGTCTGGGCGAGCCTCTTCATCCTCGACACGTAGGACAGCCCGGCCAGGCTCTCCTTGACCCGCGCGATCGGCGAGACCAGACTGGCGGCGCTGCTCATCGCGTAAACGTGGCCGGCGTGCGCGATGCCGTTGATCAGATTAGCCGCGTTCATCTTCACGAGCGTCTCGAAGCGCTGCGGATCAGTGAGCTGGACGTTGTTGAACAGCTCGGCCCATAGTCGCCACATGTCGGCCGAGTTTCGGTCCAGGCAGTACGATTCCACGAGGATACCCTCCTCGTACTTGAGCGCGCTCTCCTTGTGCTCGGCCACGTGATTCGCGAAGCTGAGCCCGCCGGTCTTCAGCTGCATCATCTGGTCGAAGGTGCGGTAGTCGTGATCGCGTGTGCCCATCTTCGCGACCACGTAGTTGAACAGCGGCATCAGCTTCTTCAGCTCGTCCGGCAACGCCCGCGTGTTCAGGATCCCTCGGTAGTAGGAGATCCCGTTAGTCGGCTGGACCGACAACTGCAGCGGCACTCCGGATATCTCCAGATTCGATGTCTCGTATCTCTCCACGTCGGCCTTCAAGTCCTCGATCTTCAGGGTCGGCAAAACCCCGATGTCCTGTTCCTTCTGCTGCTCGGCAAGTAGGATCTTACCGGCCACGTATATATGCTCCCTCTCTTCTTCGGTGAGCTCATCCAGCTTCGACTTGAGCAGCTTTTGCTCGGCGGCCGCTTTGTCCTGCTCGTAATTCTCGTCGGGTGTCATCGTCAGCGTCAGCCTGTGACTGTTCTTCTTCAGGTAAGTCTCGACCAAGCTCCGCAGGTAGCCGGGGTCCTCCCTCATTCGCGACGTGAACTTCTTCACGGCCTCGTTGATTCTCAGCGCCTGCACCAAGTCGCCGTCGTGATTCCACAGGGACGTCAGGTTGAAGAGCAAGTTCAGCCCGAAGTTCGACGTCTGGTGCTTCACGTGAATCTCGATGCCGTGCAGGACTGCCTCGACGTGGTCCTTCTCGAATCCTTCTTTGATAACCCTGTCCACGGTGCCGTCGAAGACACTCTCCACCTTGTCGAAGTTCTCCGGCTTGACGCCTTGTAGACTCACGACGAACATCGTGTCCCTGCACTGCGAGTCGTAACCGGTGACCGGACCGAAACCGGTGCTCAGGTCCGACTCGACCAGGGACTTGTAGAACGCCGAATTCGGGCCTTTCAGCAACAGCTGCGAGAGCACGTACATCTCGAAGGTAGTCTGTGTATCGGTGATGTCGTTACACAGGTGTGCGATGGCGATGGTGCCGTGACGGCTGGGATCCGCCAGCAGTGGGTCGGGTCTGCAGGTGATGTGTTCCTTCCTGGCCTTGGTCCACCGCTTTTCCGGCGGCACTGCCGACATGGAGGTGTCTATTCGGTCGCTCAGGAAGAGGTAGTGGTCGTTGACGAACTTCAGGTGTTCCTCCAGCGGGAAGTTGCCGTAGGAGTAGAAACGCGAGTTCGAGGCGTGGTAGTACTTGTTGTGGAAGTTGAGCAGATCGATGTACTGCAGGCTGGGTATGACGAGAGGATCGCCGCCGGAGATCACCGAGTACGTGTGACTCGGTAGAATGGAATTCAACATACGCTCGGCCAGGATAGCTTGATTGTCGTTGAAGACGCCCTTCATCTCGTTGAAGACCACGCCTTTGAATACGATTGGCGAGCTCTTGTCGTTGGCATCCGCGTGTTCCAATCTCCAGCCTTCCTGACGGAAATCCAGCTCCCTCAGATTCGGCCTGAAGACCGAGTCCAAGTAGACCGACTGCAGATTGCGGTAGTCCTTCAGATTTTGCGTCGAGAAGGGATATATGGTGTAGTCCGGTCCCGTCATGGCGTTCATGAACGTCGCCAAGGACCTCCTCAGCATCTTGAAGAAAGGATCTCTGCAGGGATACCTCTCGCTGCCGCACAGAGTGGTGTGCTCCAATATGTGAGGCAACCCGGTGGAATCCATGGGAGTCGTGCGGAATCCGGTGGAGAAGACATTGTTCGCATCATCCCTGGACAAGTGCAGATATTGCGCACCTGTAGATAGGTGCGACAATCTGATCGCAGTGAGAAACAACTCGTCTATCCTGGCGACCTCGTCCACTATGAATCCATGGAAGATTTCACCCTTCTTGAATTTACCCAGCTCATCTTGTACGGGCTTCTCCTCTGTATGCAGGACGTTTGATCCAACACTCGCTGAGGAATAGAAAGTACGGTGCTTGAAGTGTCGCTGCAAAACGGTGCTTCTCAAAGGAGAGCTGCACGATAACTTCAAGAGTCTCAGCATCCTGGTGCAGTCTTGTGTGTGAAATCACAGAGAATAACAGAGTTGTATCTGAAAGCAATTTAAAAATAGGTACGTCAGTTATGTAATTTACATTTTCTCAATATTGTATAATTCAGAATTTAGGTATGTATTAATAATATATGGAAATATGATATTTATCAAAATACTATGTACTTACCACGCTCGTAAGTACTTGCAACTGAACATAAATTACATGTGAAACACGATTACAGTGGATAGATTTCCTGACAAATATCCCACTTCAAAATGTACCGTATTAGTCTCAACACTAGAAGGAAAGAGGAAGAATGTTTGCATGGACGACGTGGATAGAGGTGTTAATTACAAAGACACGTCCTGGGACTAGCGAATATTCTAAAAATGTGATCGAGAATGCCGATCAGTGAATGACTACAAAATGATCTTTAATGACGTAATATATCCGCAGCTTGCAGTAATAAGCAAAACGCCGGTGGACAAGTGTGACAAGAGACTGAAATAACCAAGAAATCTAAGATTAATATAAATAATCTCACCTGCTTCCGAGATTAATTTATAGATACAGCAACGATCGACACGAGAGGTCCTTTAATAATTAATTACAAGATCGCCCGTCAAGAATCCTTACTCACAAATCGGCTGTCAGGTCGTACCGTTTGAAATAACAAATCTCGTCTATCCCGGCATTGAATTTTACCACTCAAGAGTGATACGTTCGTGGTACGTCGTTGATCGTTGCCAACCGTGAAATAATAGAATTCGACACGATCATCAAGATTGGTATCCCCTATGGAACGCGGAGCCGTTTCATTGGCTACGTATTAGAGCGAGATAACATGAACGCTTCGCGCGGGAAATCCGAAAGTAAGGAATTCAAGCGACGAATTCAACCAAAAATTGAACCGACATTCTCACGAGGCATGTTATATTATCACTTAGTTTCGAATTAAACGAGGAAATAATTATCTCTGTTACACCGTATAAAATTATTCGTAAGGGACAAATCATTAGTGTATCATGAAATATCTTTCCTTTTTATTATCACGTGCGTACATAGCGATTAGTAAACCGTGATTTTAAGAGACGAAGACACTTCAGTGGCTAATAATACATACGAGGCAAAGGTCTCCTAGCTTCGTGCTGGAGAACGTTGCCTGAAGTCATTGGCGATTTGTATTTAGCGGCGGATACAAGCGTTGTTCGGACTCACAAATCTCAAACTGGAAAACGGAATGATCATGACAAAACGTCTGACTGAGGAAAACACATAAAACGCAAATCGTACTTATTCACGTATGTATAAACTTCACCTCACACATATAAAATAAATAATTTAAAAATCTTATTGCTTTAAATACAGTCTTCCACATGTGTATTCTGTGTGTGCGTGTGTGTATATATTATATGTATGTATATATTCTATATAAATATTATATATAACAAAATATATATAAAACTATTTGATTTGACTCATTATATGACATTTCATTTATTCTCACTACGAGTACTATTGCACGGCACGAACATGGCCAAGGTAACGACACGGTGCGACCGCAAGCGATTTTTAAGAGAGAAGTCTCGCGCAACAAGATTTCGCGCGAGATATCTAGATCGGTTATTCACAGTCAAATCTTATATTTAGTATTATATTTAACATCAAGCTCATCTTTAGACGTTTCGTAGCCAACAAGTTTGCTCATTTTGACCGAACTAGATCGCACTTTCCGTCTTTAGAATGAGACACAAGTGTTTAATCCAGCGATGAAGGGGAAAAGGAAGTTTCAACGCAGCATCAGTCCTGGTCTACAACAGGTGTTTTAAATCCTAAGTCTCGAGAAATTGACCGATCACAATCGAATTACAGAAGAATAATCAATTGTGATTGATCAATTTCTTAAGACTTAAAACCCTATTGTAGATCCAGCCTTAGGCCAGGTAGACCCGAACGCTACAGCAGGGTGAATATAAGATCCGACTGTGAATATCGTCCTCGGACTTACGATTGGCACGGCATTACCGGTGCGACATACTGAGACGGGAATGGAATCTCACTAGGGCGAAGTCACGTTTTATCAGTAGCATTAAGTTAAGAAAGACAACTACGATAACAAAGAAAAAAAACGCACTATCTATGAGGTACCGAAAGGAGGAGATAGAGAAATAAAAGCGTTTGCTCCGCTGCGAGTTTGAGACGGAGGAATCAATCGTCGAAGGACGAGGAGGAGGACGACGACGGCTGGGAGTTTCGCTTGAGCATCTTCAGCACGTCGCCGTAATTCGCGGAGAGCACGCCGGACATCTCGAGCTCGAGCTGCCGCAGCGGCGTCATGTCGTGCCGGTTGCGGGCGTCGACGTTGGCGCCCTGCCTCAGCAGCAGGCCGACGAGCTTTGCGTTGCCGGCTTGGCTGACCAGGTGCAGGGGCGTGTTGCCGTCGTAGTCCTGGGCGTCCAGGTAGCAGGTCGCGCAGTTCAACAGCAACCTGACCGAGTCGACGTTGCCGTTGAGGCAGGCCAGATGCAGCGGAGTGCGGCCCTCGGACGCGGTCGTCACGTTTACGTTCGCCCCGGCGTCCAGCAGCAGTCGCACCATCTCGGTGCGCCCAGTCGCCGCGGCTACGTGCAGCGCGGTCTCGCCTAGGCTGTTGCACACGTTGATCGCGAGGGCGCGTCTGCGCTTGCAGCGTTCCAGCAGGGTCTCGCCGATCGCCGAGCACCGTTCACAGTCGCACAGCGGGTGGCACATGCCGTTGGCGCACCGCACGTCCGGCAATCGTTCGCGGTAAACCTCCAGGCCCAGGTAGTAGCAGGCCAGGCACGTGTCGCCCTCGACGATGGCGGCCAGCAGCCGGTCTATCGTCCGGTGCTCAGGATGCGGCTGGCCGCTCTGCTTCGACTTCTGCGCGACCTGCGGCCCCGTGCGGGGCTGCGAGGAATCACAGCAGACGTTGGCGTAGTACTCGAGCAGCTTGCCGATGTACCTGCTGTAAGTAACCGTGAGCGGCGTCTGGCCCTTCCGATTGGTCAGCCTGCAGTTGGCGCCGCACTCCAAGAGGATCCGCACGATCAGGACGTAACCCCATTTGGCGGCGAGGTGCAGCGCCGTGTCGCCGTTCTCGTTCCCGGCGTTCACGTCCACCGGCACCTTCATCTGTTCCGACAGGTAGAGCAACGCTTTCACGCAGCTCTCGTGGCCGCGCTCGGTCGCGCAGTGCAGCGGTGTGTTGCCGGTGGAGTCGGTCACCGTCGGGTCTGCGTTCGCGTGCAGCATGTGCAGCAGGACGCCCTGGTGGCCGCGGATGCAGGCGTGGTGGAGCGCAGTCAGCCCGTCGGAGTCGGCTACGTCGATGTCTATCTCGTGGTCGAGCAGGTAGTCCACGATCGCAATCTGGTTGCAGAGCACCGCCATGTGCAGCGGAGTGAAGCCCCGCTCGTCCTTGGGACACGTCCTCAGGTCCCGTTGGTGCGCCCAGCTGCGCTCGCAGGACGCGCACGTGCACAGGGGATGGCAGAGGGCGGTGTCGGACGGCTGCCCGGACTCGTCGCGGGCCAGCATCATCTGGACCTCGGCCAGTTCGCCCTTCTCGATGCACGCGAACAGCCGCTCGGCCGCGGACGGCTGCTGTTCCGACGTCGCGCGCTTCTTCGTCGTCGGCTTCCTCGGATCCGGGCTGATCGGGACGCTCCTCGAGATCGCCCCGGACCTGACGTGCTCTATCGCCGCCTCCAGCGACGTGATCAGGAAGCTGCCCTCGTCCGTCTCGTGGACGGATCTCGCGGAGAAACGGAACTGCTGCATGAAGGCCAGCTGTGCCATCCAGTTCGAGAGTCCGGCTTTGATGACCAGGTAGACGAGCACCGGCAATAGATCGTCCGACGAGACGACCGACGAGCTCCCGTGAGACACGTGGTTCACGGTGCGCCTGAGGCACTCGATCTTGCCCAACACGGTCACGAAGCAGTCCAAACGCGACAGCTCCAGTCTCGCGCCATCGACGCGCGACTGTAAGTCCGAGCGGATTCGGAGGTCGTCCAAGCGGATCTCGCTCAGATTTCGCGTGATCTTGTTCAGGGCCGCGTCCTCGGCCGCGGTGCCGGCGGACAGCGACTTCAACAGCACGCGCCGCAGGATGTAGAGGATGTACGTCTCCAGCGACACTCGTATGCTCCAATAGTAATACCCGCTGCCGAGCGCCTTCTCCCGCGGCGCCGCGTGCTCAAGCAGTGTCCTGAGACAGTCTGTGTACAAGCTGTACACCAGCTCCCTTTGCGCCTGCATCGGCACGCTGTTTAGATCCTTGTTGTGGTACAGAAAGTCCTTGATCTTCACTTCAAAGTCACTGCGCAGCTCTTTCTCCAGCAGTTCCATCTGCAGGAAGTTCACCGCTTCCTGGAGATTGGTGATCTTGCTCGTACAGTTGTCCGAAATACACATGCTAGTTTCCAAGGGCTGTTCTATGCACCTGTGGGATATAATGCTGTTGAAATGATCAGAATCAGACACCGATAACATGCACTTACCAAACGCAGTATTTGCGTAGATCGCTGTTGTAAAAGGTCTCCTCGAAGAGCAAGCGTGTAGAGTATTGCTGAGCGTCATGCTTGACGGTCAGGATCCTGTCCACGAGCAGGATCTCCTTGCCATCCAGGCTGTCGAATTGCGCGGTGAAGAGGTCTTGCCTGGGGACCAGTACGTGAGCATTGATCTCGTCTTTCTGGAACTTACGGTTGCTGAAGCTCCCACTGCGCGGCACGCAGACGATCCAGCCCTCCTGGATAACCTGCTGGAGCGTGGCTTCGTGGTGTTGCCTGAGCTCACGCAAGAACTCGTTCTCCGACAAATCCTCGTCGTAATCCATGTCCGTAATCGCGGGCCGCGTAATTACATCGTGAGAGCGACGGTCACTGGGGCCGAGCGTGATTCATTGAGATGTTCGCTTGGTTCCCGACGTCGGGGATCGGCACCGACACGTTCGACCTCGGTCGAGAAACTTCGCGCATTCTCGCTCGATATCTGACGGGCCGAAATCGCATCACTACGTATCCCGCGGATTCAAACTGCTCGATACGCATCCGATCAACTCAGCGATGCTCCTGCGATTCGGAATTCGATTATCGCAGTACTTATATCTGTAGGAAATGAAGGTAGGTTAGAGCTGTCACTTTCGTCAAGGCGTAATCACATTACAAGTTAGGATGGAGTTAGGATTAAAATTTGACCAATCGGAGAAAAGTTCACCAAATTTGAGTTTAGTGAACTTTGCTCTGATTGGTGTAATTTCAAATTAATTTCACCTCATGACGAGATGAAAATCACAAGCGAATAAATTTATTAGGTGTTGACTAATGTAAATCATACAGGGTACAAATTGATAAGAATGCTAAAAACCTTATTACGAACGTGAACAAATGTCCATAGTTTATGTTACGTAAGCTACTCGTCGGAAACCCGTGAAGGATGAAGGGTGTTACATCCACGATAGATAACTATATAGGGAAATTTGAAAGTAGTAAAATCAGTGACTTACGTGGACGGTCAACAGAGTGATGACTCCGCTTTTAGGTCACTCTGCTTTTCACCGAGTTTACCATGGGTCTCCGGAGTCTGGCGAAACGATTGATGAATCTGGTGAGAAATCAGAGCGGCTCGTTCTCGGATGTTCCGGCGCTGCGCGGGATGATGCGATCCGCGATTCCAATTTCGATTTCGCAACGTTCGAGAAATGAGGGATAGACAAAAATAATTGTTACACAGTCGGATTTTACGACTAATATATTCCAAACTATATAAGTACACAAGTACCAAAAGCTAATTACGAGAAAAGAATCGCCTTCTCAACGAATGCGCGCGTTTTTATATGTTGCTTTGTCGCTGAGAGTCGTTTTCTTTGTAGCTGATGGAGTCGTGGAGATGGAAAAAATTCATTCCATCGGTATGATGTCACCGCGTCGATATCGCCGCGTCGGTCCTGAGTGGTGTTTGGATTTAGGTTTATGTTCCTGTTTATGTTAGCAACGGGATGCCTTATCGCATTGAGAGATTACAGTTTCTCTTGTCTATAGTTCATCCGTCGATTTTAAGACTCTCTAACGAGATGTCGTTTCTTCGGCGTTATAATTTTAAAGTTCTGGAGGCAAACATGTGGCTAGCTGGCTAGCTAGGAACCCCAAAAAGTGAAATCTACCATTGGATATCGGATCGTCGTACATCGTCGGAGATCGTAGATCGCAGTGTGAATCCTGCATATGCATAGAGATATAAGAATAGAGGGAACAAGGGATATATGCTACCTGTAAGTGGAAGTGATAGAGGTCAAGAGAGAGATGGATGCCGAGCGTCCTATCTGTCTCTTTCTAGTCGAGCGCTGTGATTGGTTGTTACAATGAGCCACCAAGCGACCACGCGACGTCAGGAGGGGAGAAAGCAGACTAAAATTTCGTTTTGTAAATATGCGTGCACATGTGTGTAGAATTAAAATTCGTTAAATATTCGAACGTTAACAAAATAATAATTGAACGCGATTTGTTTAAAAATGAGGCATTGTTTGAAATGCAAGGCGGAGTCTTATCCTGGATGTAACCGCAGTTTTCACTCGTAAGAAAGTACAAATACGTAACCTCAAATAATTATATGTTATTTTTTCCTACATTTAAAAAAATATGTAAATGTTGTAGGCTACCGAAGGATGTAGATATAAGGCGTAAATGGTTGAATATACTTCAACTACCTTTGTATTTTGAAGTGAAAACAGTATATATTTACATCATTTTAGCAATGACAGTTTCTTTGAATTGGATGGAGAAAAATGTATAGCTATATCGTCGTTGGCGCGGCAGCCAATCCCAGCGCGTGACTAGAAAGAGACAGATAGGACACTCGGCATCCATCTCTCTCTTTGCCTCTATGACTTCCACTTACAGGCTTGTTCTCTCTATTCTTATATCTCTATGTGCATATGAGTGCCGATCTAGGTAGCTCCTGACTCCATGTTGTTACGGCGAACGAAAACTCCAGAGCAGGAAGTTTCCCACATTCTGGCGGGAATGATCTTCGTACGTTTATTGGAATTCGATGGCACGTTAACTGCAACGAATCGGCTGAATGCGCGCGAAATGTCAGTTTTGCTCCACGACGTCGATCGGCTTTGATCGTCGCCTAGTTTTAAGACCGATTCCAATCGCGACCATTGTTTCGTTATGATCGCAGCCGAGAAAATTTGAACGTGAACCGGCTACATCGGTCTTTTGTTTAAATGCAGCTTCACTCAACATTTCGTGATCGATTCTCGAGACATGGAACATAGCACGACGAATGTGAAGAAGAGGAACACTGAGAATCCCGACGAGCACTCGGCTAAACGCTGCAAGCGTACCGATAATGAGAATGATGTAGAACAGGTGTCCTAACCAATACATTGTACTTGTTTCCCCATTGTTGGTTGATTGTCATAAGTTTTTCACGGATTTTTCTTGGTTGCAAAATTAATTGAGGCCCGAAAGTACCCTTCCATCTTTCCTTCTCTCTAACTTTCTGCTTTCAGAAGCAAACAGAAAATTCTACTTGAATACTTTGTTAAATGATATGTTTGGTACCAAAACAGAATAGGGTGTATTTCATATGTGTACTTGATTTGTGATGTTATTGTAATATTGTTTCAACACTTATTTTAGTGTGCAGCTGGAAAAGTGAAAAAGATTCGTCTTCGTAACTTTATGTGTCATGCAGCGTTGGAAATAGAATTAAATGAAAATGTTAATTTTATTGTGGGACGTAATGGTAGTGGCAAAAGTGCCATACTAACAGCACTAACTGTTGGACTTGGGGCAAGAGCAAATGTTACCAGCAGAGGAGCTTCGGTGAAAGGTATTATGTTATAAAATTTATAAAATTGTCTTCACTATATATATATATATATATATATATATATATATATATGTATGTGTATATGTTTAAGACAATAAGCCCTATTTTTTGCTGAACTGGTATAGTAACTTGCACTATAGTTTTCTTTTCTTCTTTTTTCCATCAAGTCTTAACTATATATATATCTATCTTTTTTTAAATTCTATAAGTGTATACTAGTTCAGTGAAAAAGATAAACCTAATTTATCAATAATATATATTTATATTATTACATATAATATATTTGTATAAATTGCAGAGTTTATAAAAAAAGGCGAGGCCTCTGCAACTATTGAAATAACTTTATCGAATGAGGGAGATGGAGAATACAAACATGATATTTATGGTAATGTTATTATAGTTACACGTCTTATTGGACCAACATACTCAGCGTATAAAATTAAGAATTGGAAAGGTATAAGAATAAATTCTGTTCTTAATACTTTAAACAAGCATGTAGTATTTATATTTACAGGAAATCAAAGCAAACAATATTATTTACAGGGGAGATCATCTCGACAAAACGAGATGAATTGGAGAACATTGTAACATCGATGAATATACAAATCGACAATCCAATATCTGTCCTGAATCAAGATGTGTCGAGAACATTTCTAATTAATTCTAAACCTGAAGAAAAGTACAATCTATTTATGAAAGCTACTCTCTTAGATATGATAGAAAATAATTATATAGAAGCTCTGAAGATATGTGAGGAAGAGAACGAAAAATTGGATCAATATTATGAGGTATGTATTCAGTTTTTATGTCATTACATTTTATTGTAGGTCATATTCTTATCGTTAGTCATGTTTCAGACAATGTCGCAGATAAAGTCAGAGATAGAGAAATTAAAGGACAATATATCTAAAGTAGAGAGCATGGACGAGTCGCGTGCGGAATTGACAAATCTGGAAAATGAACTTCCGTGGGCTATTGTATGTTTAACAATTTTAACACACAATTCTGTAACACACTCAAGCAATAGAACTCAACCTTGAAAGCCTGGAAGCCTCGCTAATCAAAAATTCTCGATTATCATCCGTCGATATTGTTATTGTTTGAGTTGTATTGTTTAAATTTCTCTGTGCACAAACCTTGCACTTGAAGAATGAATTTTGTACATATTATTCACTTTGAATAAGAAATGTTTCGTTATACAGGTTAGTGAAGAGGAGATAAAACTTAACAAGATTCAACAAACTTTAAACACGCATGAAGCCAACCTGAAAGAGTTACAAGCTACGGAGTCATCCGTGGGATCGGTGAATGAGAAAATCGACAGCAAGATCAAGTATGAATTAAGTTTTGCGATCCAATATTTGCTTGCTCAAATTTGTATAGTCGGTTAACATGCCTCTGAGTCTTTAACACGCTTTAATGTACTAACGATATAATGAGATTAGAGAAGGAATCTTTATACATTGTTGTATTCAGCACATCAGCTGCTTATCTTTTTTTTTGCTTGTAGGGAAATAGAAGAAAAGATCCAGCGAGCTGGGCAAGAAAGGGAGGATATCGAACAAACGTATATAAGTGTACAAGCAAAGCATACAGCTGCGAAGGAGGCATATTTCAGCAAACAGCGCGAATGGCGATCCGTAGAGAACCAGGTCAAACGATTCGAGGACGATATTGGTTTACTAATGGCTGAAATTCAAAAATTAGAAAAGTAAAGGCATATGATATTCAGTTTTACGTGTATTTCTTGATTTGAGCATTTGCCTTTTTTTTGTTTTTGTGTGTGTGTGTGCGAGATATCGTTACGCATTCTCTTGTCTTGCAGTTGCAACGACGAACAATACAACCAGAGGAAGGTGATGGAAGAGACGCTGTCAAAGTTAGATGAAAAACTGGACGAACTCGAAGCCTCGATGCGCACGAAGCAAACCGAATTGATGCACTTGGAGGCCGACAATATGCGACTCTTGCAAGAAAAGCAGTCAGTCAAGATCGAATTGGACAATCACGCTGCGTGCATACGTAAGTCCATACATCCGTGGCATACGAGTTAAAAATTATATTTTTGGTATAAAGCTCGTAGCACACGGTACTTGTTTTCGTGCTGGATCTAGTGAGGCTCAATGACATACCAGAAATATTGTTTTCCGATTGGCGCATTTCCATCCAGCACAAAAACGCGCCGTTTACCGCGTGCTTAATTGAGTGCACGCACAAGGGAAAAAAGAAACGATATTTACGCGTTTAGTAAACTTACAGGCAAACTCGAAAGGAATTTGAACGGGTTCAAACAAACGGATAACGCGCTGAGCGTATATGGGCCTAACATACCGCGTCTGCTGAGGAGAATTGAGGAGGAGTGTAAGAAAGGACGATTCAAAGAAAAGCCACGTGGTCCTATCGGTATTGCTGTATTGAAATATTAGCAGTTATCATAAATTCGCTCGGCCTCGTTTCTAAATTGCATCAATTGCATACAGGTGCTAACATAAAGCTGAAGAATAAAGAATGGATACCGGCGGTAGAAAGTTATCTAGGTCGCCATACTCTTAACACGTTTTGCGTGGACAATAGCCAGGACGCTAAATTGTTGACTAGTATTATGAAGGAAATCTTCCACAACGAGAAACTACCACAAATCATAACCAGCAAGTTCTACCATCGGGTGAGCAATTCGTCTGGTGATTTTGTCGCTTTCAAGCTGAAGTGCTCGTAAAGACAAATAAGCGAGCTACGATATTCTATTTATAAATATTTCACATTTCTTCATTGTGTATCTCGAGCAAGCGTTTGCTTTTAAAAGATCGGCGAATGATCTGTCGAATTCTGTCGATATACGCAATCGGCAGTATCTCGCAGATATTTCTGCATATATGACCGTTCGACCGTTTCAGATACATGACGTTAGTCGTCACTGTACGCAATCGTCGACGTATTCTAACTTGCTGGACGCGATGGTCATAGACGATCCAATCGTGGCTAACTGCTTAATCGATCAGCGTGAAGTCGAGTGCATACTCCTCATACCGACGAACCAGGAAGCCTGTCAGATAATGTCGAACGCGACGAAGGTGCCGAAGAATTGCAAGAGAGCGTTCACTCAGCAAGGCGATACCTACTTTCCCGATCCGAATTACAGGACGTATGGCGGCAGGTGCGAACGCCCGAAGTTGCTTCAAGTCTCCACCAAGGAAGCGATGCAGTGAGTAGAACCAATTATCGTCTGCGGTAATTGTATTCCCCGATAACCGATATAATTGTTTGTTATTCCATTTTTATTACATTTTTTATCACATTTTGTATTATTCTTCTATAACACTAATATTTGTACTAATACAATTTAATTTCACTACTCTATACATAGTTTTTATATTTCTCTATATATATACTAATACAATTTAATTTCACTACTCTATACATAGTTTTTATATTTCTCTATATTTTACTATTCCTTTATTTTTACGTGATCATTATCTAATTGATTATCTATCGATTCTCTTTATCATCTTTTCATTCTTAGAACACTGAAGGAAGAGCTCGAGCTAGCGGAAGGTGTAAGTCGAGAGACGAGGACCGCGTATATCGCTATCTGCGAGAAGGAAGAGCGCACCAAATCCGCACTGACCAACGTGAACGCGAACGTCAAGAAATTGAAAGACTTACAGAGACGTTACAAAGAACAGATTGATAACTTGAAGGATAAACTCGAGATGAATAACGGCACGTCCACCGACGTCTTCGTAAGTAGCGCAATCGCGTCCCTTGATGAGAATGTCACTTCTACTTTCGTTTTCTTCGAAGTGTTGACGCGCGTGATTGGATTTATTGCTTCTACAGCGGAACGAGATCACGGAGCTCGAGAAGAAGATGGTGCAGCAAAAGGTCAAGGAGGAGGTTCTAGCTGCGAAAGTGCAGGAGCTCCAGAATAACGTTAAATCCCTCGAAGACGATGTTAAGCGTTACAGGAATTTGATAAACGACGCGAGCATAGTGATCGAGCCTCTCAATGTACGTCCAATGTATATTCCATTTTATTTCCTACCTTATACGATTTGGTAACGTCATCACTACACGCCGGTCTTAATTAATTTTTCTTCGAATAACGTCACAGGAACAAATAGCAGAGCTCACGCAGGAGAAGAACAGTCACCGCTTCGAGACGCAACGCTCCGCACGGAAATTGCAGGTGGTCCAGCAAGCCGTGCAAACCACGATGGCGAAATTTGCAATACAAGAAAGAGCCACGAGGGCAGCAATTAACGACGCCGAGAAAAAATGTCCCAGGATAGACACTACCAAGTTTGTATCGCAGAATTCGTTTACGTTTCGGCGACGTGCTTTGAATGAATTTTCAGCCGTCTGTTCCAAATGTCGCCGGAATCACTTCTTATGCTTTCTCTCACTTGTCCACGTGTCATCTCAATCTCTTGTCCTTAACAGAACGAAAAAACGTATCAAGGATTTAATGGCGGATTTAAGGAACAAGATTTGCGAAATAGAGCATCAATATGGCAGTGTGGATGACTTGAAGAAACACTTGCAGGAGAAAGAGGAGAAGTACGGATCGAACATCGAATTCATGACTAAATTGAAGGAAAGTTGCGAGGTAGGTGTATCATCATGTCCGTGATTCGATTTATTACGCTCGCAATTCACAGTTTTCACGACGATGCGTTCTCGCACATTGCAGAAACACATCGAACGGGTGAAGCGTCGGCACGCTGTGTACGAGGAATTGAGGCAGTTGTATGGCGTTCACATACAGAAGTCCTTCAAAGACGTACTCGCTTTGAGGCACTATAAGGTAATAAACTAAAGAAAGCTCTTTCTCGCGTGCGTAGCATGCACTTTCTTTCTTTTATTGCGTGTGCCGAAACGTTTTTTCACTTCGTTCTGTTTCGATCAGGGTGACATGATGATCGACCACACGAACAAGGTGCTCAATTTGAACGTGAGCGCACGAGCCGATAACAGCTCCAACAAAGACAACCGATCACTCTCGGGAGGCGAGCGATCTTATTCAACCGTCGCGTTCATCCTGGCCATTTGGGAGTGTATCAAACTACCCTTCTATTTTCTCGACGAGTTCGATGTATTTATGGTAAGTGTTTATCCACACACACACACACACACACACACACACACACACACACACGTGTCCGAGATCGCGTCTCAGAAGAAGAGATTATTTTCCACTGGAGAGATGTTTTCCAAGAAAAGGTGGTTTCCGTTGCGAATTGGATTCGTATCGAGTAATCGAGGGCAATTTTGTTCTTATTTTCTTGATCTAGGATAAGGTGAATCGACGTGTGATCATGGATATATTATTGGATCACACTAAGACGCATTCGGAAAGTCAGTTCTGTTTCCTAACACCTTTAGACACGTCGAGCATTTCCACCGAAGATTACTTAACAATTCACCAGTAAGTATAGAAATTTCTCACTGTCTGCTATCGGGGTAATGCGATCGCTGTGTTTTACGGTTCTCTTGAATGAATGTGTCTTTTCAGGTTGCAACCACCGGAGAGGAGGGGGCTGAGTCAATAAACGTTTACCATTATTATTATTATTATTATTATTATTATTATTATTATTACCACATCGTTAGTTTATTTTCTCTCAGTTCTCTCCCTTTCAATTTTGATGCAGTATCTTGTTTTGTTCTACATGAAGTCCAGTGAATATATGTGTTTTGTTTTCGTATGCAATTGCACTCATATACCTCGTTATCTAATCGAAAGTATTTATTTACATTGTACGATATTGTTCTCGTAGGTAAGCTTCTAAGTGTTTATATTTCTTTCTTCTCCGTATAATTTGTAAGATACGAAGTCAGAAATCCGAACGTGAAAAACCTGCTCATTGAATGTGATGTGAAAACTGTATGTACGATATCTAACATTCTACTAGATAGGCGGGTTCCACTTAACGTTCATAACGATTACGAGCATCGTTCTGTCTTTTTTCTTTTTTGTTTAACATCCAAGAAAAATAAGGATAGAATGATGCTCGCGAGCGTTAAGTGGAACGCGCTCTACGTGTTACATGTAATGTACTCTCTAGGTATTCGAGGAAAAGAAAAAAAATATGGCCCGCGACAAAATTATTTTACATACAAAATTTTCCACGATGTACATCGTATTGACTCACATTATTCGGTGTACATCGACAGGTGAGAGAGCTTTCGTCGCAGGCGTACTAAAATAAAGAAACAAAGGTATCTCTTTTTATACCGCAGAAATTTTTATACCACCGAATAAAAACTCAATGTATAGATATTTCTTCGCTAATTTATTATTAAGCGCCGAAAAATCGACCGTAGCGATTCATCATGGCCTCTCCAACGAGGCCCGTCGGGGAGAACTCGCCTCCCGTGTTCTTCCAAATCCCGCCGTCTCCGGATTCGTCGCCAGGCACGACCACCTTGTGGCCCAGGTAAATTCCCCCCGATTCCCCACTATTAATCGTGCAATCTGAATATCCTCATTACAAATCATGCTTTCCAGTTGCCGGGGTAGTTCGCGCGAGCGACTTCTCTCCCTCCCTCCCTTCCCTTTCATACCGGATTGATTCATCAGCGAGAGACCCGGAGCGGTCGGAGGTGTGCGGCGGATCGAGATACACGCACACACGGTGTGCGGTCCACGTCGAGCCGGCGGTAAGTGGATCAAGGTTCGCGGCATTGCGCGAATCTGGTCCGGCCGGAGTTCCCGGCTTCAACGCAACTCCATTACACTTATTACATGCGATGCGCGTGAGAGACGGCCGGCCGGTGCGTGTCGGGTGGACGGGGCGTGGTAATGGCGTTGTGCAATCCACGCGTGAGTATGTTGGCACTGTCGGAGAAAGTGCCCAAAGAACGCTCGTGAATCGCTAATGGCCCGGCGAGGTGGGATAACACCGCGGGCAGGTAGTGCCTGACCCAATTTCCGTAATTGGGTCCGGCCAAATTCGATGATTTCCTCAACTGGCTCCCTGCTTCTTGCGGTTTTCTATCTCTCTTTTTCTCTCTTTCTCTCTCACTCACTCACTCACTCTCTTTTTCTCTTTCTCTCCGCGATCGGATCAGAAAGATTAAGCAATATATTATAATACATCACTCATACATACGTATTTTCGTGAGTTGCGCCATTGCACGGAATTATTACATTGACCGTAATTGGTATTGCGAGAAGTTGATCCGATCTCGGCGAGTTTATTTCTAGAGGAGGAAGAGAGGGTCTCTCTTGCGCTTCTCGCGCTTCTCTCGCTTCCTCCCGCTACTGCGGAGAGCTCGAGTGATCGCGAGTGGACGGCTAAAGAGGAAGCTACAGAACCGCGAGGAAGAACCCTTCGCGCGAACGCGGGTAACGATCGCGAGATAAGCGAGGCCGTTGAGGGTGGAGCGAGGATAATTTCAGAACGAGTGGGTGTACTTGCTAAGAAACATGAGATTTATTCGATAAACATGGTTCCTAAGTAACGATCCAGTCAGTTCAGTGGAGGTAGGCAGGGGCGGCGGCGTAAGCGACGGGGGCGGCTGCGACCTTGGCGAACGGCGCGGCGTAAGCGACCGGCGCGGCGGCGACCTTGGCGATCGGCGCGGCGTAGCTGATGGGAGCGGCGTAGCTGATGGGAGCGGCGACCTTGGCTACGGGGGCGGCGTAGGCGAGGGGTGCGTGAGCCACAGGGGTGGCGATTTTGGCGACCGGCGCGGCGTAGGCGAGAGGAGCCGATGCGACGTGAGCGACGGGGGCGGCGGCGACGGTCTTGACGGCGACGGCGGCGGGCTCCTTGCGGACGACGGCGTTGAATCCGTTGACCGGGTCAGCGGTGTAGTCGACGGTGCGTCTGGTGCCGTCGGCCTCCAGGAGGGAGTAGCTGCCTTGGACGACGTCACCGTCGCGGGTCTCCTGCTGGCTCTTCGCGTCCCCGGTCAAGCTGTCGTGCACGTCGTAGGCGTAACTGTACTGAGGATGCGGGTCGAAGTCAGCGTCGACCGTCTTGGCGACGGCGACCGGAGCCGTGGCGTACGCCAGAGGAGCAGGGGCGAGCACACCGGCGTTGGCGGCGGCGATCAGGGCGGCGAGGACGACGAACTGCGGAGGTAAGAGTGTGTTGTTAGTAGATGTCAATTCGATCGACGTACATGCGAAAAAACAAAATACATGCTGCATTCGAGTAAGTCTCAAGTATTTCGTAAGTTTGTGTATCCGCGAATATGCTGCAAGTACATCATAAGCATAAAATTTGTTCAAAATATATTCTTAGTAAATTTGGTATTTCAATCAAGAATATTAAGTTAAGACTAAACTCTCTCTCTTTTCGATGAAGTATAAAATATTCTGAAAAAGAGAATACATTCTTATAATTGTTATATAATATTGTTTGTATTATCTTATATAAATTGTTATATGTCTTAATACTTTCATACTTTAAAAAAATAGGTTCTTCCTTTGAGTACGCGATAATGAAGTTTTCATAATGATTCATCATGATTAGTATATTTTAAGACTGTTATCAAGAAAATATTCTTTGTTAAAGATAACTTATTATTTAAAACAAAGAAGGTAAAGTGAGACGATGGACGAACCAAAAGTGTGCGTTGAAAGAAATAGAGTTCCCGTCGTAAGAACCGAATTTCGTTCGAGAACCGGAAATTATGTTTTCTTTAACCGAAACACTTCTTTATTTTGCGTTTATCGTCAGATAAATTCTCGCTCGTACTTTTCTCCACGTGAGATAACGATAAATCGCATCGATGGGACTTAGATTGAAAATAACTGTGGTGGATTTTCAGTGCGCGAACGACGAGAATCCCGGACGAAGGCAGAGACGGCGAAGTCGCTTCGACGAAAGCCGGTACGTGCCGAGTTTACCGAGCGTGCCGCGTCTACTCGCTCGTTCACGCGCTCCACTTTCGAGCGGATTCGCCGTTAATTGCGCCGTTTTTTCGAGCCGATTAATGAAACAATAATACCGCCGGGAGGGCGACAATAAGCGTGGCTGCGAGACCGGACGAGCTCGCTCGTAATTACCCCGCGAATTCGTTGTAAATAATCCGCAATTAACCGAACGTGCCGTGGTCGGAGCGATTTCGGGACCGGCGTACTTCGAGAATCGCAATACCTTGAAGGCCATTGTTGCTTGGTTGATTGGTAGATTGGTAGATTCGCTCGATCTGAGTCTGTGATGCGAATGATACCGGTGGATGGACGGTTTTCGGCTTTTATACCGCCGCGCCGGGGACTACCGAAAGGCCCACACCACACTACGCTGCACCACCACACGCCGGAGCATACGTAACTGGGTGACGGTACCTTCGACGGTCACCCGATTCGCGGCCACGCACAGCGAGCAGCGCAAAATTGAGCAAGAAATCGGACCACGCCCAGCGACCAGCCGAACCCGGGTTCGAGCCCCTGCTCTCTCGTCGGGCCCCGAGACAACCGGCCAGTGTACCGTCGTCGTCGTCGCCGGGGACTAGGCCACGTCCTTGCCACGAGTTACCTAATCCTCCCCCGCTCGCTCCGTCGAGGGTTCCACGGAGAGCGTTTGCTCTCTCGGCCCGTCGGACTGGCTCTTCCGAATTTCCCCTTTTTACTTCTTCTTTCTCTTTCTCCCTTTCTTCTCCTCTCTCTTTCCTCTGCTCACAGCCTTATGATTGAGGATTTTATGCGAGAAAAGGACCATGGGAGAGCATCGTATCCTCCAGATGACTCTCTCTCTTTCTCTCTCTCTCTCTCTCTCTCTCTCTCTCTCTCTTTCTTTCTTTCTCTCTTCTCGTGGAAGATTTTTCGCATTTCTATACAAGACGAGGTCCCTTTGTGCGCCGTGTGAAAGGTATGACGGGTGTTTCGAGTTTCGATAAAATACGTTTGGGTGCCTTTTCATCGGGTTCTTACATCATTACTCGAATCAAATGCTCTTCGCGAGAGGAGGTTCCCTTTTTATTAGACGATTACATGATTATACTCGCGCGCGCGAGTTCCACTGCCCGATTACGAGCGTGACTTTCTTTTTTCCTCGCTCTATATGAAGTCTCCCCGGGTCTATTAACACGTCCGTCGCATAGACACGCGCTCATTTGTCACCCTCTGTCGTCCTCTCGGCTGATATTTCTGATATTTCTCGTCCTTGCGGCCTCGTGGTGATTTTAATGCCGCGCGTTTGATAATCCTCTACTACTCGCTCGCCCTGAGTATTATGATCCACACGGGAGATTTCTCTCGACATTTTTCAGCTTGTCCGCGCGTCTCTCCTCTTAAGAAACGTATACGTTGAATGAAAAAGTACCTAAAAAAGATCAAAAAAATACTTATTCACTAGAGATGTCAGTATCTGATATCTTTAATACTCTCTAATAATCTCTAATAATTATCTACCGATAATATGTATTTACTTAGATTTTTCTCTTTGAATTCTTTTACTTAAATAGAATAAACAATTGCCTTCGCGCAGAGCTAGCCAGCACAGAGAAAAATAGTTTTAAATCAATGATAGATATCTTCATATGTAAGCAAGAGTATTGTAATATTCTTAGATTTTTGGACTGGAATTGAGTTCAAGCAATGAGTATTGTGAATTTACTAGGATTCAGAATATATATTTTCAATCAATTCGATACTTGCGATGTATTTACAGATATATAAATTTACGAAATACTTAAAATGAGTAACATTAATTTGAATACAGCATATATCTTTCTGCGTACATCCATGCGCGATCGCTTCGCGGGATTCAATTTGTTGGTACGCGAAAGTTCGTGCGAATTATCGACCGCCTCGTAAGTTTCCTCTGTCGCTATTCGCGATCAAGCAAACTCTGCCCTTGTAACGCGCGGAATGCGACTTAATCGATGCGACCAATTGCACAGTGCTGTGGAACGAAGCATCACACTTGCGTCAAATTGCGTGAGCCTTCGACGACGTTCGATTCACGTGTAAGTGCGCGAATGTGAGCGCGCGTTTCAGTGCAAGAGCCGATCAACAGCAATTAATGAGTTGATCCGTAGAATGCCAGATTTTCACTAACGATATTAAGGAGTTCCTACATATTTATTATTACTTATCGAAAATACACATTCCTATAGCTTTATTTAACTAAGTAATAAATATTAATTTTGAGCGCGAAATTAGGACAAATATACATAGAATGGTAAAGTTGGAAAACAATCGATCCGATCTGAAGATTGAAAAACACAACAATTTTTTTTTCGGTGTAAGAAAATAGTTCGATGGACCGACTGCTTTAATGGATACGTGGGTAGGTGGCCAGGTACTCGAACTCGGATAATTACGCGTTTCGAAACTTCGTAATTTCTTCTCGCACGTTTCTACGTCTGATAAATTGTATCTCCCGAGACTCGTATCAGCTGATCGCACGAACGTCGCAAGGACAGCACGCTTGCGATTCGCGAGCGATGATAATTGCTCGGTATAAAAATTCGGGTCGGACTGCAGGGGAGACGCAAGGGAGGAGAATTTCCACAATTAAACCTCCGTATTGCGCGCGAGGCTCTCGCCGCGTGTCGCTCGATGTCGAAACGAACGAGAGGGATAAGCGCGCGCGGAAAAAATATACTCTCGCGCGCTTATTAACGGGAGAAACGTCGCAGTCGATTTGCTCGCGCGCGCATGAAAGATGGCCGCTCCGATTGTAATTAATGGTATTTTGTTGCTGAGTGCGAAGGCCGCGCGCGACTCGACTGCGAAATTCAAGTCCGCGACGGCCCGTCCCGGTAATTAATACCGCGGGCGGTTCCGGGACAAACGCTTTTTTTTCGCGAAAGGTCCCACCGGAGGAGAACGAGAGCGGGCACAGGACGATATCACAGCGAATTCGATCTTATATGAAAATAAAACTTGTACTTACACGAAGAAATATATTTTATACATTTATATCGCCAAAAATACATTTATGTTATTCCGGAATAATTTTCACTTGAATTGAGAAGAAAAAGGTATCCTCACTATAAGAATTATATCAGTTTGAAGATACCTTTTTTTCCCCTTTTAATTCGTAAAAATTATCTCTTGAATGACAGGAATATGATAGAACAAATGTAGAACGAATTATTAATTATTTGATAGAATAATAAATTTTCGAACTACGTATATAAGATAATGTATTCACGCTTATATATGAGAATATAAGTCTTGAATCTCGATACTAATTTTTTCCCTCTGCAACGTGATAATAGGCGTTTAATGGTTCAAAATGCTTATATACTTTTTTTCGTTTAAACAATGCACATAGAGCAGTCTTTGACATGTACCAATGCGAGTGATCGAATTCGCTATCAATTTCAACGTCCGGATGGTCGGGAGCGCGATTCGCCGCCGATCACCGGACTTCCTGTCGCAACCTTCGGTCTTTTCCATAATCGACCGAATCAAAGCCGACGGGTTTCTGCGTCGAGAAGAAGAAAAAGGTGACGAAGGGGAGGACGAGGCTGCGCAAGGAAGCCATTTGCAGGCTCGTCCCCCGTAAATTGTCCGTCGAATGCCGTCCGCGGACGCGTCTTCTCTCGCGACGCGAATCAAAGGAAGCACGGCGACATTGTCGCGTATTTGAACCGACGGCGGCTGCAATCCTTATGCTCCGCATGCAAGATAAATCGCACGAAGTTACGACGCCATCGGACAGCCCGGCCGCGCTGACGGAATTAATTAAATTTCTCAATAAGCGTCTCCTTTGCCGAACGCCGAGCGAGTTTCCAAGCGGCTGGAGAGACCCGATCTGAATATTTATTTGGACGATTGGCATTTAACTAGGGATTTAATTGTTTTCATTATCCCCGTTTTGGGACGCAGCCGAGGAAGATCGGATTTTTCACGCACGTCACGGAAATCTCCCGCGGCGTCGCAAGGATCTCTCGCGAGGATCTCTCGCGGCGACAAGAAGCGCGATCGGCTCGAAATCTCGATCGTCGATCAGCGGCCCGCCCGATAATGCCCGCGGCCACGATCGATCGAGGTGGGCCTCGACGCGCGAATTCAGCCGGCCCACCTATTTCTTCTTTATGAAAGTGCTCCACTTCTCTCTCTCTCTGCCCAACCGTCGCGCGGGCCCCGCCGACGATGTTAGATACGATTACGCAATTACGACGCGTATCCCGTCCGGGACACGACACATTCGACACGGCGACACGTATATCGAAACGCGTCGAAAGTTTCGCGACAACAGCGACGACGACGACGAGGAGTAGGAGGAGGCGGCTGCTCGCGATTCTTGTTTCCTCAGCTATGCTCCACTTGAAAGTGAAAGAGAGAGAGAAAGAGACACTGCTTTTTGATACGATCATCGTCTCTCGCACGTGGGAGGATGTTAGATATTCTAGAGTTCTCCGGAGGAAGGAAGAAAGAGAGAGACACATTACAGATCTATTTGTCACATAGAAAAAAAATGCGTTCCAGTTTTAAGGTAATTGGTCCGTCAAACCATTTTCTTAAAGTAGCCTAAATTAGCCTTTTAAATTTTATTTCCATATTGATGGACATATTATCTACATATCCATAAAGAAGAAAAAATCTCTTATGAAACAATTGACCATTTGGAAGATATTCGCAACTAAAGGTGACACGTTTTATACGCGTTCCTTGATGTTAATATTTTATCTTTAACTTTTATTTTTAATTTCTTCTAAACCACTATAATTTTGTTCCCTGTATCGTTTGACGAACAAAATTCTCTTGCGCCAGCCGAACGAGACGAGAACGAGCGGGAGCCATCGAGATGTTTCATGAAGGTACCAAGGGAATTTCTACTCCGCCGTTGGGCAACTTGAAGAGCCATTAAGATTGTATTCTAAAAATAAATCCGTAACGTTGCGTCCGGGATTAGATTGATCTAAATTCTAAATCGTCTAGACGAGTCGACACGGAGTTTAATTCCCATCTCGATCGTTCACAGATTGCTCGCAGTGCTTTTTTGCCTCGTTCAAAGGTGCTAACTTAGCTTTCAGTTAATTAGAAATCTATATTATAATCATCTAATCGGCGATCGATGATCAGTAAAAAATCAGATGATCGTGAAAAATCGTTGATCCACGCACTGGACATACGAAAAGCGTTCGGCGTGGTCAGTGATGTACACAGACTCGCGAGAGTATTGCACAACCAAGCGATTACGCTGATAGACAGAAAACATGGACGAGGATTTCATTGTAATGTGCCAGGAGAAGTGAACGAATTCGCCAGAAATAGGAAACACGTGTGAAAGCAAGAAGAATAACGTATAATGATTTTCGAGCCTTGCGTCTCTTGTCATTTTTTTAAATATTGACTAGTAGATAGTATTATTTGGCATATTCGAAGCTTCAAAATAATCCTTCGGTATAATATAATATAATATTCTTCGATATTTCACGACGAAGTTCCGAGATTCGAAGTCGAATTATTCGAAGCTCCGAACTTCGCTCGAACATTCACATACCGAAGCTGTTAACAAAACTAATTTTAGAGAATGCAAACAAAATATTGTCTTATTAGAGAGTATCAATTGAACGTTAAGACGTCCTAACAGGTCCTAAAGATATTTTTCAGACGATAAGACAAATTTCATTACTCGAACGTAACGCGTCGAAGATTCAGAGTGTCGAAGTTTCGAAGAGCCGGTGCCTCGATCATACAATTTTCAACCCCGATACTGACGTGAAAGAAAGAGCTGATCGTGCGATTATTTCTTATACGAGAATCAAGTGATTTCTAAATACTTCCGCCTCCAAGACCCGTTCTTTCGCCATCTTTGGCCAGGTCCTTCTAATCGGCCGCGGCAATTGAAAGAGAGGGTGCGCGATCGTGCGCGGCGGCCAAGTTCAAGTGCGGCCGGTCGGCCGGTCGCGGATGTCAACGGCGGCGAACTTTCGAAGTTTCAGGCCGGGACCGACGGTGGGGACCCACGGTGGTGGCCCGGCCATCGGGTATATAAAGCGGCTGCGATCAACAACGGACATCATCAGTCTCGCTTTGGTAGATAACCAAAACCAACCAAATCCACTCAACAATGGCATTCAAGGTGGGTAGAAGACCGCACGAGGCTGCTGTAGGCAGTGGTGCACTGGGTCTTATCGAACCTCTCTTTCTCTCTCTTTCGAGTCTTCGTCTCGCAAACGGCGTATCGAATCGAGTAACATCAAGTCTCCTCGAGACTTCGAGTATACCGAGAAGTTCTTGAGGAGCTCACCTTCGAACTCACTCACTTTCTCTCTTTCAGTTCGTCGCTTTTGCCGCCCTCGTGGTCGCCGCCAACGCCGGTGTGCTCGCCCCTGCTCCTCTGGCGTACGCCACGGCTCCGGTCGCCGTCGCCCCGGTCGCCAAGGCTGTGGTCGCCAAGGCGGTCGACGCTGACTTCGACCCGCATCCCCAGTACAGCTACGCCTACGACGTGCACGACAGCTTGACCGGGGACGCCAAGAGCCAGCAGGAGACCCGCGACGGTGACATCGTCCAAGGCAGCTACTCCCTCCTGGAAGCCGACGGCACCAGGCGCACCGTCGACTACACCGCTGACCCGGTCAACGGATTCAACGCCGTCGTCCGCAAGGAGCCCGCCGCCGTCGCCGTCAAGGCCGTCGCCGCCGCCCCCGTCGCTCACGTCGCATCGGCTCCTCTCGCCTACGCCGCGCCTGTCGCCAAGATCGCCACCCCTGTGGCTCACGCTCCCCTCGCCTACGCCGCCCCCGTAGCCAAGGTCGCCGCTCCCATCAGCTACGCCGCTCCCATCAGCTACGCCGCGCCAGTAGCCAAGATCGCCACCCCGGTTGCCGCTCCCATCAGCTACGCCGCTCCCGTGGCCAAGATCGCCGCCCCCGTGGCCTACGCCGCACACGCTGCTCCTCTGGCTTACGCCGCACACGCTGCTCCTCTGGCCTACGCCGCGCACGCTGCACCCGTCACCTACGCCGCGCACGCTGCACCCGTCACCTACGCCGCGCACGCTGCACCCGTCACCTACGCAGCACACGCTGCGCCCGTCGCCTACGCCGCGCACGCAGCACCCCTCGCCAAGTTCGCCGCCGCGCCAGCCATCTCCTACGCCGCCCCAGCTGCCTACATCCACTGATGCGCGACTCGCCCGCGCCTCGTCCCCCCCTTCGCCCTCCCCCCCACAGTTGTCGACTCAGGCCGAACTTTTATTTATTTTTATAGCAGACATTTCTCCTATGTGACTGATTAAAGTGAGTTACATGATGTAAAGAATTCACCAGGACTACTGATTTGCGCGAGGCTGCCCCCTACCCCGTTTCCCACCCGCCATCCCGGTCAACGTCGATTAACATAACATCAATATTACGTAATCGCCCACTCTGTAATGTAACTGTTACATAACACACGCGTTGCACTGCATTTACATTGCTGATCTGGAAATCACAACATTGATGTTGTGTTACCGTTAGCTGGCGTTCACTGGGATGCTCGTTAGATATGCTAGATATGCGCCGTACTGGAATGCGCTGGTGTGCTTTGCAGAGGAGCCACATGCGTTGCTGCAATTATCACCACCGCTCTCGCGATTTTCAATCGCGAGCGTCTTGCGGGAGATCCCTTCGTTTTGGCCGTGCACTTTTTCGCTTTGGAGCGAAGGGAGTGCACGACCTAGTGTCGGAGGGAAAAGGAAGGAAGTCCCAGCGCTAATTCGGTTAAAACGAACGGGCCGAGGCGACGGATAGAAGGGTATCGGATGTGTGTAGTTACAACGGCTTGAAAAAATCCGGGGGTTCTTTCCCTATTTTTCCACGGATTATTTGTCTTCCTTACGGGGAGAAAGCGCGGCAGGTTACGATCGAACACGCGTGAATCTTTCTAATTCTTCCATCCCCGGGATAGGAAAGCAGAGAGACCGTTTTTCGGTGCTCGCGAAACTCTAAACTCGGACGCGAAAAGATCAGCCGTTGGAACTCGTTCCCCGACCATTGTAAAAACGATCGGATCGATTATTATTCACGGGTACGTCACCGGTGTGGCTTTCTAAGAGAAGAAAGGCGAGCGAGAGAAACGATTAGAGCGATCGAATCTAGAGCCGGGGGAGAGCGATTACCACACACGTATGGATGTGCTAATCGCGCGCGTGCGCGCGACATTCCGTCCCGGCGACGGATTGCAGCTCCGCATTGTTCCGTGTCGTCATGCCGGCGATGTAAATCCGCGGCGATGTCGAAAGGCCCGGATCTATTCGGTCGCGATGCGCGTTCGACATCGGCGACGTTCATCGCCGCGATTCCAACGTCGCGCGCGCTCCACCACCACCACGTCGCCGTCGCGATTATGATACGCGCGACGTTGAGAGCGATTTGCGCGCGCGCGTTGTGCAGGAATCTCAAATCGAAAGTAGACATCCGCGGGCGCGTGAGCGGAAAACGCAAGGAGCGGGCTGTGACGCCCCGCACGGTTCCCACGCCGCCGTCGTTCGCCGCGATTTTGCGAAACCACGGCGGAGAAACTCGGACTCCGTTGCGTGCAGAAGCTTCGATTTTCAAGAATCTTGAAGGCTCGGAAAGAAAACTGGAGGCTTTCCTCACCTTCCCGCGGAATCTCCGGTTCCTTCCCTGGGAAATTCACGTGTGTGTCCGGCTAAAACCCGCCACGTTTACTTCCTTCCGTAACGAAGATAATCGCGTGCGCTTAATTGAAGTTTAAATGAAGTTAATACATCGTATGTTAATGCATATAATGTTAACATACATACATTTATTATATATAATACACGATACAATGTTACCAGTACGCATACTTGTTTAAATCCGTATTAATAAGAAATAACTACCGAAAGTGGATCATTCAAAGTGTTACGGACTGATGTTTCAAAAGAAGTGCATCATATATATTCAAAAAGAAAATATATAAGGACGACGATGAATGTGGCTTAAATCGATATCATATCCGGTTCGATTAGTGGAACGAAGGGCGAGCGAGACTCGCGGGCGACGACGACGCGCGCGAGTTCACGCGGATTGTGACGGGCGACTTCGCGCAAAGTTGATGTTTTTCCATTGTCATGCCCGACCCTTGAGCGATGCAACCGCTTTTGCAATCGGTCCCCCGGGCCAGGCGCGGCGAACAAAAGCGGAGCTTCGATCCTGGCGCGGGAAGGCGCTCGAGAAAGGACCAGCGAAAAGCGGAGAAAGTGGGTCAATTCTTCTGGCCGGAACGCCCGAAATAGCGTGACACCCGATGCCGCGGTGTTACGCACGAAAGTTTACCCCGAGAGCGTCAAGGGCACGACGGCCGCGGGGATCGCGGGATTTCACCCGGAGCGTGAGAGAGACGATGCTTTTTTTACCCTCGTTTCGCCGTGAATCGCGACGATCCAGGACGAGACTGTGATGGAGGGGGGGNGACGGTGGAATAGAATGTAATTTTGAAAAGACCAGTTTTCTGAAAAAAAAAGAAAAACGATTTATTCTGCGAAAAATTGCTATTTAAAAAAAAACCAAGCGCGACCTCAAGACGTCTAAAAGACGTTTCATGTTCCGATTTCGGACATTTCTGCTGTCTGGGTTTCATTGCTGTGCCAAACGCAGAATAAACTGTTCATTTGCGGCGTGATTCGTTGTTTCCTCATCGAGGAGTCGCGGGGGGCCGCGAACGGCGTCTCGCACGCGCGTAACGACGCACGCAGCGCGACGAAGAAACGTGTAGAAAGAAGAATTACGCACACACCACCGAATTCGAGTTCGCTCGCAGCGGGCCCGAATCCATTTACTGGTGAGGGAGAAAGGCACCCAAATTCCAGGTCTCGATTTAAACGCTGCAGTTGCGCAACAGGGCGGACCGCTCGCGCTTTTCGGGAAGCGCGTGCACGCGTGCTCGCTGCCGTAGAAAACGATTGGCAATGGATGGATTACGTACGCCTCGATGCCGATGCCGGCTAATAATAAAGACCTTGATACGAAAGCTGTCACTTACACACACACACTCACACATATACGCATACATACACGTACATGTATCGTATTATTAATATAAATTGATATCACTATCTTACTAATCCATTAAAGACCACATGAGTCTTTCAAGAACATTTTCAATCAGGCTATCGATTTTTGGAGGTTTTTGTTAGCATTGAAGATTAATTAATTAATTTAATTAGCATTGAAATTAGTATTGAAGCTCGTTCTTTTTATCGAATGCGAAATACTTTATCTTTGTTTTCATCGGAAGTAGGTAATTGGAGAAAATTAGGACGGTGTTGTAGAAAACACGAGAATAGAATTACATTTTAATTACGTAATAATTTCCCGGGAAAAGATAGTCGTGTATGAAATTTATCTCTATATATGATTGTATATCATTATAATTAATTATATACCCACAACGAAAAAATATTATTTTATACAAAATGTGTACAAATACAATCGAAATAAATGCTTTTGGTGGCATAATGTCGACGTTTAATCAAATAATGCAATATCATTTTTTTCGTACAGACACAATTATATCCACCATATATGGACAAAATTCGTATATAATTTATATATGTAATCACATATATAATTTTATATAATTATATACAATCATTACTTCCCGGGATTGTTTACTTTTTTTTAATAAAATTGTCCCGTAAGTGGAACACTGGCGACTAAAGAATTGATTGAATTAACAATATCCGGCCGGTTTTTATTATTTTTTAGCCGTATTGACGAGACACTGATTATTTCCCTAAAAAAAGGACCTTTCGATGAGAACGGCAATTTGAATATTTCAACATTTCTGTTCGCAGAGCTGAAAGTACGAAGAAGCGGGGGATCGTTTCTCGAACCGGCTGGAAGAAGTCAAACGATGTGGTCGGGTGAAAAGTATCCGGTTGGAGATGCAAATTCGAGGGCGCGATCGCGTTACGGAACGCGACTAACCGCGCGAGAGGTCCCGCAGGGGCCTCCGCACAACGCGCAACCTTCCTCACGGCGACTTCGGCTGCCAATTAATATTCATCGACCTGACTCGATCTTGCTCTCACCTCGTATCTCAATTGATCTTTTCGGGAGTTCTCGTTAGTGCGGTAAGTTGCTCGCGAGGATAAGCCAATTATAAGTCCATGCGGGCGCCTGCATGAGCGCGCGAGGGCCGTAATATGCGTGTACGCACGTGGAAGACAAAGCGACTTTCAAAAGTGAAAGATATCGCGCATGCGACGATATCGTAGAGCCCGCCGGAGGAAGAAAAGTCGCGATTGCGCAATCCGTCACTTCGAATCCGAGCGTCCTGTCACAAGCGTCCTCGACGAAAGTGCAAGTGCAAGTCGGCCTGATGTGGCGCTCGTTGCGATAACGCGATGCGATACGCTCGCGCAATTCCTCGCCGAATATTCCTCGCGATTAATTTTCGCCGATCGCCCGCGACATTGTCTCATTTCACCCGGCCATAAATCATCGGCGACGACGCTCCCGTGACCCGTTCTTTTTCGCGGGCTTTCGCGCTCTCCCTTCTTCGCGCATTTTTCATCGTCCTCACCGACGTGGCGCTTTTTTAATGTTGCTCACACGACGAGTAACGTTAATGAACGACGGATCGCCTTGGCCCTAGCTTCTCTCTCTCTCTCTCTCTCTCTCTTTCTCTCTCACTCGTGTACCCGCTGGGAACGCTCGCGCACCCAACACGGTGCATCGGTGAGAAATCACGCGTGGTGGAGAAGGAGAGGATCCCACTGATGGATGTGACGTGAAATTTTATCTCGCGGCTTGCGCGCGAATCCTCCCCGTCGATTACTTATGAGAAGCGAGGAGCCGACTGACAGCAGCAATTTTTCGCTGTTCTTCGATCGCGCCGTTCGATCGATTTGCATGTTGTGTTGTTGTCCGATCGCTTGTACATATCACACACTCCGACCCATTTTCGTCTCAGCCGGTGACCTTGATTCGCACTCAAGCCTGGGCAAATAATAATAAAAAGAGCGCGCGCGGCCTTAATCGGTAAGTTCGAATGTTCCGTTGAGAGGAAGAGAAAAAAGAGCGAAAGAGAGAGAGAGAGAGAGAGAGAGAAAGAGAGGCGTACAGCAATCTCGTCCGCTGAGACGTCCGTTTAAAGCCGAAAGCGCGGGACACGTTCGTCCGATTCGATTCTTCTTCGCTTCGATTCTGTAATTCATCGCGAGCCAAACGATATTCCCATCACGATAGCAGTTGCAGTTACCGCGAACGCGCTACTACGTGCGCGCGTTGCGAATCACGAGCGACGCGCTAATCGAACGACGCGATACGTTCGATCGTTCTCGCGAACATCACGTTTACGCGCTTTTTTTTTCGCGCAATCGAGAGCTGCGTCTTGCAGCGAATCGATACGTCAACAGGGAAACAAATGGCCAAGGTAGTAACGCAATATAGTAACGTCAATGTGATAACGCAATAAGGCGGAGAGCGTATTTCTCATTCGCACGATCATCCTCGAATTGTCGCTCGCTATTTACACGGAACGTGTTCCTCAACGAGGAACATTTTATTCCAATAATGCCTTTCACTTTGGAATGTCTCGTATCTACATATTTTCGTATTGTGCCTGTTGGTTTTCAGAAAGATCGGCCATTCAATCACATTAAATGCAATAATAGTGAAAGAGAGTGAAAGAGAGAGATAGAGAGAGAGAGAGGGAGAGAGAGAGAGAGAGAAGAAAATGCCATAACCGGAAGTGGAAGGCATTGTTGGAGCAGCGTTTATCGAGAAGACAGGGCGATTAAATTCATCTCCTGAATGCTCGAGATACGTCATAATTATCTAGCAGATAACACGAGACGTCCTGTGCATATTCAGGATGATTTCGAATCTTTTCGCGCTATCGAGGCTGAAACGTCTGAAATAACTCGATCGGAGCGGAAAGTTCCTCGGTGAGAAATTCCGCAAAAGTGCTGCGACGGGGAAGCGGTCAGTTGTCAAGGTAAGAGCGAGATCAGGCCCGGTGTTGCGATCGAGGAACAGAGGGCGGTGGTCCCGCCCGCGGCGATTCGCGGATTCCGGTCCTCGTCCAAAAGTGGACCGGTTTCTCTCTCTCTCTTTCTTTCTCTCTCAAGCAAACGTAATACAGGGCGCGATTACGAGGTGGTGCCGCATAGTGACATTGGGCGCGGTTCTTTGACGGCCGCGCTCGCACGCGGCTGCAAATGCGATTCTGTTCGCGGTGAAAGTCGATTTGTGCCTCTCTTTCCCTCTCGTCTCCGCCGCCGGGCCTTTCTTCGTCGTACCGACATTTTCGTGTTTTCGTAATTCGAGCTAATTCATTGTCGCGTCGACCCTTCGACAGAACGCGCGTGCATTGTTCTGGAGGATCAGGAGTGAAGAAGATAAACGTAATCTGTGATAATTATGCAAACGTCCACTTTTCGTGCGAAGTACGTGCTCGTTGTTTTAGCGCATCGGCGATCCGTTGCTTTTACAGAGATATTCATTGCGGTATTAATTAATTAGCCAGCTACTGAAATACAAGACTCGGCTGAGTAAAGCACGTGTAACCACTCTGACGCGTCTGACTGGCGTTGACTCGCACTACTTGCTTCGTGAGGAGGAGTAATTTACTTGGCAACGATGCTGTGTGTAAACTGCGTTTGTACGGCAACATAAATCCAATTAGTATGATAACACTCGTATAGCTTTGAAGACTCGGAAAAACCCGGCTCTTTGTCCATTTTCCCGCGGATTTTTATTCGATTTCTTTCCCAAGGGTAGAGAAATTCGTTTAGAATAATTCACGCGTGTTCGGTTAAAATCTGCCACATTCACTTCTTCCTTCGTAAACAAAGATAATTGCGTGTACTTAACTGAAGTTAAACGAAATTAATGTGTTATATGTCAAGCAATAACATATTCAAAGAATTACGACAGGATACATTGTAAACAGAAAAATATATGATATATAATAAATGTTACATCAGTGTTATATAATAAATGTTATATCAATGTTACATAATAAATGTTATATCAGTGCGTATAATTTTGAAATCGTGTTAGTAAGAAATAATTACTGGCTGGTCCGTACAAAGTGTTAGAGAGTAATATTTGGAATTAATTTGTCTTAATTGACGAGCCACGACGTATCGGGATAATCATCACAGAAGTTGCCCATCGTCCAAGAACAAGAACAAAAAGAAATTGAATCGCGTCGGACGGTGCTCGTTGAACGGTCAACGCGCGTAACCGAAGGTCGCATTACGCACCAGCATACATGCGTGCGTGCGTGTACTCGCACGGCGCGCTCCTTGCGTAAACACGCGCGGCGGGGCCCCGAAACGGTTGCGTAACGCGACGTGATCAGACGTAACACAGTCAGCCAAGCGATCTATCCGCGAAATCGGTGACATTGATCGACGCGTCCACGCTCTTGCCCGCCCGTTCACTCGCCCGCTCGCCGCGGCACGCGGTCGTTACGCTAGCGCGGTGACCTACGACGTAACCGAGTAGAATCGCTGCGCGGTCAGTGGCCTAGTCCGCGCGCGAAGATGAGTGCTTGAGATTCCGCTAGTTTGAAAAAAAGAAAGAAAGAAAAAGAGAGAGAGACTTCTCGTCAGTCTTTCTTTTATCCTTCCGATGTAGTAAACTATATCCGTGACACTTGCTCTCAAAACCGCATCTCTACTCAGAAAAAACTTTCCATATATAATGAAATATAATTGTACATGAGGCGTCATGTAGAGAATATATGTAAAATAAAAATATATTATTATATATGAAGTGACGAGAGATACAGTTATGTATGATTATATATAGATGTATATAATTATATATATATATTTTTTTTTATATATGGACGTATCCTATATATCATTATATTTTTTGAGAAATTTTCCTGAATTAATACGTTAAATGAACGTAATAATAAACGAATCGAGTGTGCTGTGGTTGAAAGAAACAGAATTTTCGGTTCCCATCCGCAAATATACGTCTCTTGAATGTCCTTCAAACATTTTGTGGAAATTTGTGCTGCCTGGGTGTGAGCCGAACTTGATTCTCAGAATGAGAAATTCGATTTCCTTCGAGACGAGGACGCGTTCAGTTCCCCTCATTGTCGATCTTTAATTCGACCGATATTTATTTCGTCGTAATAATCGCTACACGCAACTCATGGCAAACGATTTATTATGCTTTCCCATCGACAGTAGTCATGATAAGGCAGCGTACAAATTACAAAAGTCTCGGAGTAGCAAATCATGGGGTATCATGCGAATTACGAATAGGTGGTCTAAGCGAGAGCGGGCGCGGCCGCGTAAGTGAGACCGGCGAGGGGGGTGGCGTAGGCGAGCGGCGAGGTGTACGCCGCGGTGTACGCGGCGTAGGGGTAAGTCGGGTAGCTGGCTATCGCCTTGGCGGGGAGGGCCGCCACACGAGCGCTCGCCACCGGCTGGCCGGCGGCTCGCCCAGGTGCCTGTTGTTGTTCCCGCTGTTCCTGCCGTTGCTCCGCCTGCTGCTCTTCCTCCTGCGGCCGTCGCTGCGCTTGTTGTCGCAGCTGCTGTACCTGCAACCTCGACGACTGCTGCCTCTGTTGCTCCCGCAGCCGCTGCAGCTGTCGCAGCTGCTGCTCCTGCTGCTGCTGCTCCTGTTCCCGCAGGCGCTGCAGTTGCCGCAGCTGCTGTTGACGCTGGATCTCCTGTTCCCGCGTCAGAGGACCGGATCGCGCCTCGAGCACCTCCACGTCGGAGTCGGGCCCGAGCGCGGGGATCGACGGGGCCGCGGCGGGCGCGGCGAGCGGCGGTAGCGCCGGCCGCAGCGGCACCACCGGCGACGCCGCGACGGCGGCGACCGTCAACGGCTGCCGGCTGACGACCGCGTTGAAACCGTTGACCGGGTCCGCGGTGTACTCGACGATGCGCCGGGTGCCGTCCGCCTCGATCAGGCTGTAGCTACCCTGCACGATGTCGCCGTTGCGGGTCTCGTATTGGGCCTTCGAGTCGCCGGTAACCGCGTCCTGCACGTCGTACGCGAAGCTGTACTGCGGCACCGCGTCGAACTCCTCCAGCTTCGCCAACGGCACCGCCGGCACCACTACCCCGTGGCTGAGCGCCAACAGTCCCAGGAATAAGACGAGCTGAAAGATAACGGTAGCTCGTCAGCTCGTGATCGTTTCGTCGGCAGCGCAGAGTCTCGATTGGGCAACTCTGAGCGGGCGAACGGGTGGAGAGGACGATTAGTGTTTGTCGATTATAAACTGTCGCCAATATCCGTTTAATTCAATCTTATGTTTGAGATCGTCCCGAGTTTATCCTCGGATCTTATCTTCTTTCGTTGCTCCGGAGCAACGAAATTACCAGAAGCCGCGGAGGTGAACCTGAGACGATCTTAAATGTAAGACCCGACTATGGCCCGACTGGTTTGCACCAAATCCGATTAAGCGCTGAGCGATGGTTTATTTACCTACTGGGTCACCAGTTGAAAGTTCCGTCGCAGAGGAAATTGAGAAAGAGAAGGAATTAGGTTGCGCCAAACTTTGATTAATGCTCGCGCACCTCCTACCGTGATTTCAATCTAATCGACGAATGACTCGAGGAAATTGACCAATCGCATCGATCAATTCAACTAATTGGCCAATGCGATTAGTCAATTCCGTTGAATTGATCATCGATTAATATATATACATATATAAGAGAAATTGAATTAATACGAATAAATGTTTTTATCCTCGTCATTTAGTTACAGTTAAATCTTCCGTAGAGTTAATCGTCAATTAGATTTCAATCATGTGGTGGGAACGGGCATTAGAAATTTCAGTTGCGATTCTCGCTCAGCTTAATTGTAGTTTGATGCAATCGGGCTATGAAGCTTTACAAAGCCATTGATCGGTATAGTCAGATCTTATATCCGAGGCTGTCTTAAGTTCACCTTCAAATACTACTTGGCCAGTGAAACTATTCCGTACGGTAATTGAAGATGACTCGAAAGGGCCTCAAATACAAGATCTGACTATGAACACCGGTCACACAGTCGACTTTATGCTTAAGATCATCTCAAGTTCGCCTTCAGGTATTCCGTAACCAGTAAAAAATGAGCCGTACAGCACCCGGAGATGAACCCGAGACGATCTTAGATACACAAGATCCGACCGTGAATATCGTTCTACGGCTTACAAAAACGAAAAAAAACACCTCTCCTCAAGCAGAAGAAAAGATGAGGGTGGTGCGATGGACCACCCAGCTTCCCTTACCTTGCCGGTCATGTTTGTTTGTTCGTGGGAGGATCGCCGGAGGACTGATGCCTCGGGGTGAAAACGCCCGTACTTTTATACGTCGCGTCTCGTGTCATCCGAGGACGATGATGCTCCTCGCGAAGCCGAATTCGCGTTAACGCCACCCGCGTACGCCCCCACTCCCTGCCTCTAATCACTCTATCTCTCTCTCGCTCTCTCTCTCTCTCTCTCCCTCTGTATTCTGCCTCGGCTCTGTCTCCGCCGCAACATCTATCCTCCGGTCGCGCTCGTTGACCCACCGATGATCGTTGCGATGTACAAGAGTCGTCGAACGCGACGTTGTATCAACGTATGCGCGCGTTATATGTTTCTTCATATCGCCGGCGCGCGACATACACGCGACTTGGAAGTCAATACGCCGGAGAGGACGGCGTAGAAATGGCTCGAGGTCGGCCGACGAAGAAATCGCCAGAAGAACCGTGTCCTCGAACACACCGGCTCACGCGAGTCTTCTCTCTCTCTCTTTCCCCTCAGCTTCCTATTATACGCAGATCTATGATCACGTCGTATTCGAGAGAGGAAATTAGTCAAAATAGGCGCATACATTTCATGTCAAAATATAGTCACAAACGCGCGCAACAATCACCGAACTGATTCGAATTTACACGAATATTCTCTTAACCGGGAGACGTCGCAAGAGCGAAATTTGGGGAACGGCCCTTTGTCGGGGAAAATCTCGTTTGCAATGTGATAGATGCTCGAAGAAGAGGACAAAGGACGAAGCGGTGCATTGCCTAACGCAACTGCGGGCGGGCGGACGATCGCCGAAATACGCGCGATCGCGCACGCCTTGCACGTATGCGCGCACGTGGTGTGTGCCAATATGTCGAATACAGGGCGGCCGGTCGTCTATCAAGGTCGTTCGACGACGAAAGAAGAAAGCACGAACGGCGTTTCCCGCGCGAGTCCGCCTGCACCGGTCTGCTGCAATCCGGCGAACTTAACATTCAGCGGTGGCGACGATGAGTCCGCCGCCGACGCGCGGACGTTACCGCGCGGCATTAATTGCGGCACACGTAATCGTCAGTCGCGGTTGTTTCGCGCTCTCCCTTGCGAAACGTCGTAGGTTCGATCCACCTTTGGCCGCCATCGGCGTGCTCGCGTGAATCTTTGCGCAACGCGCGCCAAATTCAGCGAGATCCATCATCATTCATCCGTTCTTGAATCGAATCGTCGTCGAGCTCTCTTTGTTGAAGGGGGGAAAGAAGAAAAATATCGAGAGCAAACCTCCAACACGTCGCACGGCGGCGTTACAAATGATCTCGGGCGATCTTCGAAAGCCGGGGATAGCTCAAGCTAAGGTAATAATAACGATACGGTAGTCGTTGATACAGTAATGGTAACTTCTACGAGATGGTGTCTCAAGGTCGTAGAAACGTCTTATTTCTCGCGCGAGTTTCGGAGTTTTTGCGCTCGCGATGAAAAATTTACCTCACTCGTGAGATTGTAAAGGCGCGTACAACGCGCGATACGTAACGCGTTAAAAAAAAACGCGAGATCACGGTGGCCGGCGATAATTCTCCTATGCAGCGCCGGTGCTTTCACTCTTGCGTAATAGCGGCGATTTTTTCGCGACTCCTGAGCTAAGTAAGTGTTACATTTTCGTCGCCGCGAAGAAAAAAAAAGCCCAACGAGCCGTGAATATTAAGGATGTATCGCCCACTGGTGCCGTAATTTCAGTGGCGTATCAAAAGAGCCATTCATAAATTTCGTATTTATGATCACGTTCCTAAATGTTTACTTCATTACATGAATAATAAATGTTAAAATATTGTTTCCAATTTTTCTTATTGATGCTTGATATTCATGCAATAATTGATCTAATAGATGCATAGATAATAGAAAGTGGTGTATAAATCAAGAAACACGTAAACTAATACGTAATTTTTTCATGATTTTTCCGTTATTCTCAGTTATGGCTGATGCATCCTTAAGCGCACTCACGACACGACGATTCATCGTGCGGCACGTCTCTTCGTTCGGCGGCTCATTGTAACCGTTTAAGCATACAACGTCGATAAGAGCCGCGGCCGGAGATACGACGTGGGATGCGCGTCCGTTAGCGGTGTATGAATCACCCTCGCGTCTCGTCGCTTCTTCCTTCATAAACAGAGATGAGTCACTCGGTATAATTAAGGAGGACGAGCGCCGACCGTGACCGTGAAACGGGTTTATCCGCAGACTCGCTTGCTGCTTATGTAACGTGATGCCGCTGACGCTTCTTCTCTCATCCCCAGAAGTCGGCTGCATCCCGCGGAAATATTTATGCAACTGCCGACGATACATCGCACGCTACAAAGATCGAATGGTATCGGGTCAAATTGCGAACACGTCGCGTTACATGGGATGTCTCCGAAGTCGTGTGTTTTTTCCCACTTTTGTGACTCTCGTGGGGGGAGG